GAAACGCAAAAGCAGTTAGTGAACTTTATATAAGTCGCTGTGAATTCTGTAGGTCCTAAATTTCAGATCAGATAGTAATTTTCCTCTATCACAAGTTTCTTGTGCAATAAACAAGTGACTTACTTTGTTTTGTTAACTTTCTTTCGAAAACTTATTTTCTGTCTTTCCAACTAAAAAGTGAAAAGAATTGTGAGGAAATATCTTATTTTAACACACTTATTTTAAATAACGAAACTGCAAATACTATAAAAAACACGATTTTCAAAGTATTAAGGTCAAAATATTTTCTTAAATATCCCCCCAAATACCGACGATTTCGTTCACAAAAATGTAATATAAAAGTGGCAAAGCATAAAATCGCTAGCAATTTCTCCTGATTTATTGGGCCCTTTAGACGTTGCAAAAGTAATTCCCGCGTTTTATAATGGCGGGTAAGTTAGAATATTTTAGATACGTTGCCATCGTTTGGATTGCAAATTTAAGTATAATGCTTTTTTGATTATTCCGAATTGGAAATGCGGGAATATCAATAATCATTAAACCCAGATTAGTACCCTCTAAAACCAAGTAATTGGAATTAGTAGGGTTCGTCTAACAAGCCCTTTATCGAAATTACATTAGCCAATAGAATTTATACGCCTATTGAGCATTTTCAGCCACGGGTTTTCTTATTTTTTTACTTTTGTTAAATAAATGTTTTTTATTCTTTATACATTGTTGAGACTATTGCCGCGTACCTCACTTATCTCTAAAGATCGAAACATTGGACTTTTCATAGCACAAACGACATTTTTCTCTTCGTTTTTGAGATGCCTTTTTGGAAAATTTGAAATTTTAAGGCTTCCAAGGTATCCCTTAGTTTTATAATATACATAATAGTGTTTTTTGTATATTTTTTTTACGTAGATTTCAGTGCCGCTCTTAGGGGTTGGATCAAAAAGTGTTTCCAAACATTTAAAAATTTTGCATTTTCCTTACCGCACAGGATTGTCGTAATTACAATGATGTTGACAGGAAACAGGAAATAAGAAATTTTTAATTTTCAAAATAATTTTCAAAATTGAGGATAACTTCTTCTTGTTTCTTGTTCACGTCAATTCAAAATAAAACGTTTAAAAATCCAAATCCTGTCTGAAATAAGCGAATTGAAAAATCAAGAATTTTATTATTGTTTAATTTTAAGATTTTTGCTTCTAGGAAATTATTAACAAAATTACAGTTATTTTAATATAATTAATGAAATAATTACACGTTAACAACGATTTTGTGATTTGGAATTTTTCATATTTTTGGAGTTATCGGGACTAAACTATTAAAAAAAAACAATGTTTTTGTTGTTTCTATGACACAAACTTTTTGAATTAATTTTTCAGATGTCATACTTATTGTTTTAAAAATAGAAACATTAAATTTCATTCTAAAAAATGAAATTGCTGCACCACTGGCATACATTTTGCATAAATTCACAGAATATTAGAGGAGAAATACCGAAAGGAAAATATAGTTTCTATGATACCCAAATATGTAGTCAAAACAGTGTTACAGTTATGTCCACAATCAGAACTTAGTGAAAGATTTATGTTTACCTACGATTCTTTTTTTTTCCGAAATTTCAACAAAAACATTGTTTTTTTTTAATAGTTTAGTCCCGATAACTCCAAAAATATGAAAAATTCCAAATCACAAAATCGTTGTTAACGTGTAATTATTTCATTAATTATATTAAAATAACTGTAATTTTGTTAATAATTTCCTAGAAGCTAAAATCTTAAAATTAAACAATAATAAAATTCTTGATTTTTCAATTCGCTTATTTCAGACTGGATTTGGATTTTTAAACGTTTTATTTTGAATTGACGTAAACAAGAAACAAGAAGAAGTTATCCGCAATTTTGAAAATTATTTTGAAAATTAAAAATTTCTTATTTCCTGTTTCCTGTCAACATTTTTAAATGTTTGGAAAACTTATATTTAAATATAAACAATTCGAACACTTTTTGATCCGACCCCTAAGAGCGGCACTGAAATCTACTTAAAAAAATATACAAAAAACACTATTATGTATATTATAAAACTAAGGGATACCTTGGAAGCCTTAAAATTTCAAATTTTCCAAAAAGGCATCTCAAAAACGAAGAGAAAAATGTCGTTTGTGCTATGAAAAGTCCAATGTTTCGATCTTTAGAGATAAGTGAGGTACGCGGCAATAGTCTCAACAATGTATAAAGAATAAAAAACATTTATTTAACAAAAGTAAAAAAATAAGAAAACCCGTGGCTGAAAATGCTCAATAGGCGTATAAATTCTATTGGCTAATGTAATTTCGATAAAGGGCTTGTTAGACGAACCCTACTAATTCCAATTACTTGGTTTTAGAGGGTACTAATCTGGGTTTAATGATTATTGATATTCCCGCATTTCCAATTCGGAATAATCAAAAAAGCATTATACTTAAATTTGCAATCCAAACGATGGCAACGTATCTAAAATATTCTAACTTACCCGCCATTATAAAACGCGGGAATTACTTTTGCAACGTCTAAAGGGCCCAATAAATCAGGAGAAATTGCTAGCGATTTTATGCTTTGCCACTTTTATATTACATTTTAGTGAACGAAATCGTCGGTATTTGGGGGGATATTTAAGAAAATATTTTGACCTTAATACTTTGAAAATCGTGTTTTTTATAGTATTTGCAGTTTCGTTATTTAAAATAAGTGTGTTAAATTAAGATATTTCCTCACAATTCTTTTTACTTTTTAGTTGGAAAGACAGAAAATAAGTTTTCGAAAGAAAGTTAACTTTTCAAAATTGATGCTAACAAAAATAAAAATATTAAAAAATTGATTTTCTACTTTTAACAAAACTTCTGGATTCTTTCTGCGTCGGTTTTTGTTGACTCGAACTAGCTAACGCTTCCGCGTCATCCTTGGCTTCTTCAGAGCTTGGCTGAAACTGGCTAGCATTTTACTCTGTACCTGCTTATATATTGTTTGAGGGGGGCGGAGCTAAATGAGGGGCATAAACAACGTCTCGGATGACTGATTCCCATATTGGTGTCGCGGTTAAGATTGTCAGGTTACTTATGGATTTCTATAAACTCCCGGATTTTTCGTTGGTAGAAGAATTGATTACATTCAAGAATTTTAGTTTTATCGAATAAAATTTTATGGGATTGCTTTGTTTGGCAAGTTCGACAAAAACCGCCTCAGGAGGAATCCAGAAGTTTTGTGAAAAGTATTGCAGTAGCCAGTGGAAGTTTCTTTGAAAAATTAATTGATTTTCTAATATAAAGTTTTATTTTTTGAGAGCAGGAAATAAAGGTCTTTTTTTGTTTTCAAAAATGTAAATCCCAATTCGCTGAGATAAAAGGCCTTCAAGCCACTTTTATTGCTAAAAATGCCTTTTAATCATTATAATGAAGATCAGAAACTTGAAATTATACGAAATTATGAGGAAACACCCAGTATAGTTCTACATACGATAAATGGTCATGACTGTAATAATGATATTAACGGTTTTATGATATGTATGAATACATTCTGTATAATTGTAATTATATAAATAATTAATATAATATATAAAAGACCATACATACTGAATACTTTTAGCTAAACTATAAACTACATGGACAACTTAAAACTATACCAAATTCTAACCTTGAACGATTTTTTTTAATACCTTGGTAGAACCAAAAAAAATCGGGGAAAAAAAAAGAAAAAAATTAATAATTATGGATTTTGTCCCCAGTAAATAAATAATAACTCTTAGATTATTATTAATTTCAATTTCAATAATGAATAAATGGATCAAATTAATAAACTTGAAATTATTAGTTGTTCTTCAAATCTATGATTTCATCTCTAGTTATTTCAGTTTTAATAAATCTTTCTAATCTGATTTTAAGTAACGAAAGTGTTTCTAATAGGAATTTTATTTAAAAAGATTTGTACTACTATTTTTGAAAATAGTTGTCTTGCATCGAGCATACCTGATTAATCAAAAATTTATGTTGTTGAATAACACCTATCCCTGTTATAAACAATTTTTAAAATCCTTTTTGGTGAAATATTAATTCCTTCGAAATATTTATTTGCCAATACACCGCATGCTAAAATTCCGTAATTTAAATTGAGCGAGCGCATAGTACAAGATTTTAAGTTGGTCTAACTTTAAGTGATCTAGGTTTATTTGTGATATATTCGGAGTGTGGTCCCATTTCAAATCAAGATACTTAAATTTTTTACAAGATTTGATGTCAAAGCTGCTTGAAATTTAAGGGTATCTTATAATGGTAATTTGTTGCTATAGCAACTAAAAGGCATAAAAACACTTTTTGTAAAGTTTATGCTAAGTTTGTTGTTGTTAAACTGTTTTATGTATTTTATACAATTACTTTGTTATTGGGGTTCTTTTATTTAGTCTGAGTATATTGCTATATTATAATTTATGCCTTGGGTGGCTGTGAAGTAGATCGTAATCAAGAAAAAAATGTTTGCTTATAACTGACAGCGACAGTTACATGTTTAGCAAACAATGCTCCTTTTATCTGCTGTTTTTTCGATTTATCATACTACTGATTGAACATTGTATTGCAAAACTCAACCCTTTTTTCTTAATCAATAAACTCTTCTTTCCGGCTTTCCGATATATTTTAAATGTAAAGTAAACTCCTCAAATCACTGTCTTCATCTCTTTCCAATGTTCTCCTCTTTCTGACAAGGATGGATGTTTGTTGAAATTTTTCATAGATTCGATGCAAGGTTTTTTTGTCTGGAACGTGGATTCGGGGGTTAATTACACGCTTTTGAGAGAATTTAGCCCTTTTATTTCCTTTAACAAACGTTTCTAAAATTAATTGTTTTACTCTTTGACAATAAGGCATTTTATAGCAAAAAGACCGTAAGTTTTGTCACTGTCACTTATAAACAAACATTTTGTTTTTTGGTGACTTACTTCACATTTACAAATTCTAGAATATTATTTTATATTTTTATTTTATTATGCAAGAAATGCAGAATTTTAAAGGATTTCACTAAGCTTATAATATACAAGGTGTTCTGTGGGTGATTTCTGCAATATATCTTGCAAATAGCTTACTATTTTTTGAACAATTTGAAAGTTAAATAAAAGAGTTAAAAGGGGGGGACATTATAAATGATAACCAGATACAGTAAACGTTGACTGATGTATTTTCAAACAGTTTTTTTAAATTTCCAGACGTAGATAATAAAAATATAAGCATTATATGAATTTTATCTTCATATACTTGTAAAACGAGCAGCATAGTCTAAACAGAGCAAATAATGACTGCAACACCACTAATCGTAAAAATGATTTTAAAATTTCTAAGGTGTCGTGACCATTCACCGTGTGCAGGACTATACCTAATTTTTAAATGTTTAGTCGATAGTATGTAAGAAGGAAACATACATCAACAAAGATCGACGTTGCTAATATCGATTCTTATTTATATTTCCGAAAGTAAGCAGCAGTAAATTAGTTTAGCCATTAGTAGATGTAGGTGTAGTTCGCCTAACCACATACCGTTTTTTATGAGATAATTCGATATTTAATTTTGGTAAATTTTTATGAAGGTCTAATCGCAGGCATACTTCGCTTGGGTTTCTATTTGTAATTCCACATTGACATTCCAGAACCGTACTTCGGTAGTTCGTGCAAATAAATAAAAACTAAAAGTTCAGATTTTCACGAATTTTATTTATATATATTCACATGACAATTGTTTCGACAGCACCGTGTCTTTCTCAAATGTAATATTTACAAACTACCTGATATTATATATACCGAAAATGACAATAAAACCTTAATTAATGTTGTTGTGACAATTTATGTTTAATAATAGAGAGGTATTTAAATCTAATTTTTCAAAGAAATTTCCACAGGCTTCTGTAATGCTTTTTACAAAACTTCTGGATTCCTCCTGCGTCGGTTTTTGCTTAGTCGAAATTGCTGACGTTTCGCCAATCATCCTGTTGGCTTCTTCAGAGCTTGACAGTCAACAGGGTGATTGGCGAAACGTCAGCAATTTAGACTAAGCAAAAACCGACGCAGGAGGAATCCAGAAGTTTTGTAAAAAGCGTATTTAAATCTAATTGATCGTTAAGCAATACATTTGAATGTCTCGTTTTGTTAATCTCTGTGGCTTCCAATAAATATATATAAATATAAATACAAGACAAATCCAGACAACAGTAAACTATATTTATCCGAAACCTAATACAGAACACGAATAATTTAAAACAATTACATACATAGCAGAACAGAGTGAAAATGTTTCAAAATATTTGTCAAAATGTGGTTTAAAAATTGCTTTCAGAACGAACAACACAATAGGACAATTTTTAAAAAACACTAAAACGAAGTGACCAAAATCTCAAAAATCAGGTGTCTACAGGTTTTAAATGCGGATCACGTCCTAAAATTTATATTGGACATACAGGTAGATCCTTCAATAAACGCATTAACGAATATAAAAAAGCGTTTAAAATAGTTTAGATTCTAATTATGCTACATACTTAAACACAGAAAAACACATTTTCGAGTACAATTTTGATATTTTACATACAGCTACAAAAAATAGGAAATTAAATTTATTGGAAGCCATGGAGATTAACAAAATGAGACAGACATTCAAATGTATTGCTTAACGATCAATTAGATTTAAATAGCTCTCCATTAGTAAACTGAAATTCTCACAACAACATTAATTAAAGTTTTATTGTCATTTTTTTTGTATATATAGTAGCAGGTAGTTTATGAATATTACATTTGATAAAAAAACGTTGTTGTCGAAACAATTTTCATGTGAATATATATATAATTTCGGGAAACCTGAACTTTTAGTTCTTATTTATTTTATTATTATTATTTATTATTATTATTATTATTATTATTATTATTATTATTATCATTAGTTAATGCATATTTCTGTCAAAGCTTATATCGTGGTTGAGGCCAGTGACGGAACGTGGTGGAGGTTTAATGAGCGACCTAGTCACTTCGGCTATGGCTTGGTGTGACGGATTTACTCTGCCATTGGTAGTGCCCTTGAACGATTGGCTCCAACCACCTCTACCCCAACAATCGAAAGTGATGACAACTCCCGAAGTTCGCTTAGTGGAATGCACCCCCAACGCGCAACATGTAGTTGTTGTTGTGGACACGGATCCGCAATTGTGGCATATTATGACCAACCAATTGGTGCATACGTTTAAGGGTAAGTTCATTGACGTGTTTTCATATGTTTGTTGTGGTTTTCCGCCTAGCAGACTCAATTTAGAGTAAATAGAACAGTAATAGGGAATCGGATGGTTTAGAAATGCTTTTTGTGCTGGCATATTATCTAAAACTTCAATAAAACTTGAGGAAATTTATTAACATTAAATTCGTTATAAATAAGCACTTTTCTGCGACCGATGCAATTGCACATCTAAGCGCCAGATGGCGTCTTTTGGCATAAATAACTTTCTGAAAAACAATACAAATGTATCGATGTGTTTTTTTGTATAGTCAAACAAGGACACAATAATAAGTACTAAAATATTTTATTTTATTATTTATGTTTAATTGTCCCTAATTTACCAAATAAAAGGCTTTCAATTTCTTTATCTACCTTCATTATGTTTTATTCAGTTTTTTTTTTATTTTTCATTAAGAATTTAGTAGACTAATCAAAATTTAATCAATTTTTGAATGTTCTTCAGCTTGGTGATAAAGTCAAATTTCTTCTATGAAATTGTTTTACTGCCATACCATATAATAATTGTTGGTTGGTAATCAAATTTAAACTTTTACTCTCAAACTATGCTCTTACTTAAAAATCCTCTCTTCGTTGAGAGAGAAAATTCAATAGCGATATCCTTATAACTTAAAACTAGTGTACTTTCCTTACTGTCTCGTTCCGTTTTGTAAAATCGTTACTCCACTCTCTTCGAATTCATATTGCACACGCAAATTCCAAACAACGGACTTATCTTGAATGTCCTAAAATAGAAAGGCACTGGCGACATTCTCTTGCAACTGGAGGTATTTTTTAAGTGCGTGTTTTCCAAAAAATGTGAAACACCTTCTGTCGTTCCCTTTCTTCATCAAACCTCAGCCAAAATCTATCTATACGAAATGATACTTTTAAAAAATGAAGTAGTGCAGATCTGAATGCCTTAGAGAACATTTCTGTCAAAAAATTCTAAGCAGCACTTTAAAAGCACTTTTAAACGTACCACATAGATGCGGTGTTAAGCTGTAAAAACAATTATATTATCAAATACAAAGTAAGCGGAAATAATTGTAACTGTCGTTTTTAAAACGCCATTTTTGATAGAAGAAAGAATGAGTTTTATTAAAACTTTATTACACATTTGATAGTAATGCCACGACAACCCACATAAACACATTCGAAATTGAAATTGAAAATTGAAGTTATTTTTACACTTATCGATGATTTATTTCTACAAAACCAAGTAAACATGATTTTTTTTATATGAAATTTAATTTTCCTTGTGAGATAACTTGGCAGCTAAATGTTCATCAAAAATGTTAAATAATGTATTTTTATTCTCTTTCCCTTATAGTAGTATTAAAAAAACAAGTTAGCAAACATTTTTGCGAATTTTAATCTTTACTTTGGTCAGCAATATGGAAACTAGGTTCTTTCTCATCTATATCAACGACCTTCCTGAAGCCCTTTCGAATGATTGGCATAGCGTTCTCTGCGGAAGACACTACTTGCTGAGTTAACAAGAGCTAAGGACTGGTTTACAAAAAATTGCTTAACCCTGAACGAAGTTTCTTTAACCTTCTCTCAAAAACACATCAAGGTAATAAGTAAATAATGGAAAAAGTGCAAAATTCTTGGGAAGTCTTTTAGACCCTAAACTAAATCGGTGTCACCACACAGACCAAGTGACCAAGTAAAAAAGTCTCAAAAAACATTTTTGTAATACGTAGCCTACAGGTCGCAGACCTCAAATGCAAAGAGGATATTAGATCTAAATTTTCGAAGCATAAAATCCTTACAGTGCTAAGCGCTTATATACTTAAGTGTCTATTTTACGTTTACGAGAATCAAACAGATTTTTTACATATGAATGAAGTTCACATCTACAGAACACGGAATAGAGACAACCTCAGACCTTATTATTAGTGCATCCATTGTTTTCATAAAATAAAGCCCGAGACAAAACAACTCCCAATAAACAGGTTCGAAAACTTAGTCAAAGAATTTTTAAATAAAGCAATCCCTTTACAGCTTAGGGGAGTTTATCTTGTTTCAAGATATTAATAATTATATCTAGTCAGATGATTGGACCTCTTCGATTTTCCGCTTTCGGTGATAAGTTTCTGTGATAATCTTAGTTCAGCCTTAATTATGTTGTACAATTCTTATTACACGTTATATTTTATTGATATGACAGATCGCATACATTTTCTGTGTTTGTAACTTTCATGCTAATAAATATAATGAAGTGAAATGAAATGAAGAATGGAATCCCTCATTCTCTCTCAACATCTGGTTTAATTTCATTTAGGCATCTATTTTAAACACAAAAAGATACTGAATTGCTGATTTAAATCTGCCTTTTAAATCATACACCCTTGCAAGATCACATTTTAAAATTTTGAACCAGATTTCCCACAAGACAGTGTTTCTATCGTCTTCCCTTTTAAAATTCAAACCACGGTAGATAATTTTAGCAGGTTTAATCCCGCTGCCCATACTAATGCCACCTACTCTTGAAACTTTTATAATTCTTCTACTTTGCAATTCGCGAATTTTTCGGTCATATTAAACTAAAGTGGGGATTATAATATCTGCGATAATGGATCTATTTTACTTTCCATTCGTACCGCCAATGTATAATAAACTTAAGAATTTTATTGGAGCTGAATTTTTATGACCCTTTCCAGTAAATGAACGTTAAATTCTCAGGACAGTTACTTCTAAGGCGTATATATCAATATTAATAGGTTTTTTGCTAACTCTCAAATGTTTTTTTTTTGTTTTATTTTTTGTAGATATTTTATGGGATCAACTTTTATTGACTTTTAGGGTCCATCTATTATATTCATCTAATGTTTGCGCGTTTATCTCAATCCTAAGACGCCGATTTCTTTTGCAGACTTTCAGTATTCCTTCTAGCCCTTTCTCATTCGTTTTTTTTTTTTGGTAGTTCTTAGGTGATTCAATGTAATTGATTTTCAGGCCACAAAGATAAAGTCAATTGCATGGCCGTCACAAAACAGAGCCAGTATTTGTTAACCGGATCAGACGATATAAGCATCATAGTGTGGGACTTAAAATCCTTAAGTTTAAGGCTTAAAATATGCGAGCATATAGCTCCGGTTCTGTGTATTACGAGCGCCTTAAACAATTCAGTTATAATATCTGGAGGAGAAGACAGCAGCATTATTATAAGCTCTCTGGGTACTGGTAAACTTGTTACGAAAATTGATCACCATAGAGGCCCGGTTACTGCTATTAAGGTAACATCACATGGGGATATTATGGTTTCCGGTAGCAAGGACTGCAAGGTCTGTCTCTGGTCTTTAAATAATTACGCCCTATTAAATACAATGACGTTTTGTTCGCCTTTGCAAATACTGGACGTATCTGCCGATTCGATTTTTTTAGCCGTTTGTTGTAAAGATAATAAAATTTACATTAAAACTTTAGCCACGGGTACAGACGTGCACACACTGGTAGATCACAAAACAAAGGTGCGTAGTCAGCGAGAAGAACGAGTGTTTATAAAGCAATTTCCCACAATTTCAGGTTAAGTCCTTATGCATTACCCAAGACAGCTGTCGTATTGTTTTGGGATGTTCCGATAAAAAAGTGTACATCCACGATATTCACAGCGCGAAATTGAATAAGACATTAACAGGGCAAAACGGCGAAGTCTCTGCTGTCAAAATAATGGATAAAGATGATTTTCTGCTTACAGCTGGTAGGACGTTATAGTTTAAAAAAACAAACGAATTGATGTTCGTTTTTTTGTATTTATTTAACAATTTTAAATGCATTGGCTATGCATTAGTATTTTTAAAAAGGTACTTTTGATTTTGTTATGTCCCACATAGAGGATTTTCATCCAATATAATGTATATTCAAACTTTTTTCCACAGGATGTTGAAATTTTATGGTTTTTTCTTTACAACTTTTTTTTGAGCATTTAGCTCAAAATTAAAGCATGGATTACGTTTTAGAGATCAGATATACAGTGCGGTACGCCACTGGTAGATTCTGAAATACAAAATAAATTTCTTTTGCAATTTATTCGCATCTGAGAACAAAAATTAAAATCATTCTTCAAGTTTTTAAAGAAAACAATTCCGAATATTTCCAAAAAGGATATATATAAAATTTTGGGCAATATGTTTAACCCCACATCTCACACTGCATTAAAGTATGGTAATATAAAGTAAGTTTAGTAATAGTAAAGTATTATTATTTATTTATTGTATAAAACGACTATAGATTCCCATTGCAAGAGGTGTTTTTTACGATATATGAATTTAAATTTAATTTACACTTCTGATAATAACTCATTTAGATTATAATCACAATTATTGCCATAAAAACGGAACCTAACAATTTTAGCCTAATATTAACAATTTAATTATAATTTAAGAATTACCACAATAATTATATATGAAACTAAGGTTAGAAATTATAAATGAAATGAAAAATATCCGTTTTTTAAAAGGGCATCGACGCAACTAATTAGATTAAATCGGAATAAAAATAAAAGAAATTTTCTTGAATTATTATAACTGCAAATCAAAAGTAACAGCTTAAAAATAAAAGTTGTTTTATAAATCTAATTAATAAATTTATAATTAAGTAAAAGCAGTGTGGTCAAATAAATATAAAAGTTATAAACTAACTCGGAAATTAAAATTTCCTTTTTTTATTTTTAAAAGGTGTTAATTTTTTTTTTTCACTGTTAAAATCATGCTCTATTTTCTATAGTAAAGCAAAATGGTCGTATTCGTTTTTTATATGCTTCGAAATCGATTTGCTTTTCAGGTGGCAACCGAGTAATTTTTTACCCGTTCCGCAGTACGGACCATATTAAAAGTTTTCTAAAAGTGAAGAAGAAATCCCACCACCATTTAAGCGCGCATCAAGGTTTTATAACTTGCCTAGATATATCTAGAGACGGGCAACTTTCCGTAACTGGAGCGACAGACCAGATAGTAAATATATGGCAGTTAAATAATCAGGAGCTTGTTCTCACATTAAATGGACACACAGGCCCAGTAACTGCCGTACATTTTGCACCGAGCGCACTGTTTGTAGCTTCAGGATCTGAGGATAAAACTGTCAAAGTTTGGGGCTTAACTCTGGGTACACTTGTCTCTACATTCTCGGTAAGTTTGGCCCCCAATATTTGCACGATTTGCACGGCGTACTAAACTGGCAATTTTTCAACCCCGCACCTGACACCACATTAAAGGATATTTGTAACTAGCTCGTGAAAATATTACAAGTATATATTTTTTACGGGGTTTTTCTTAAGCATCGTAACATATTTCGTTGTTTGATATTTAAATGTGACTCTATTTAAAGAAAAAAATGGAAATATTGATTAATTTTATTAAATAATCATTTTCAGAGTTTTTATCTCATTACTTCATGCCAATGGTTTTTCTTAAGAATTGTGGCATACTGTGTTGTTAGATATTAAAATGTGACTGTGTTTAAAGAAAAAAAAGGAAAAACCTTGGTTAAATTTATTTTATGAAGGATATCTTTTCTTTACTTACTAACTATTGATTAAGTATGTTATATAATCATTTGTTTAGTGTTTACCCCACTAGCAATGACAAATTCTGTGGTGCAAGCTTCGGTCGTATACTAATAACTCGTAAAATTTAGGCCATAACACCAATAAGAAACCAAATTTTGAAACTTGTAACAAAAAAAGCGGCATGATTTACTCTTTTTCTCTAAATAAAATGAACTTATATCTATCTAACGTATTATTATGCTATATAACAAAATCAAATATGAAACGATTATTGTGTTTAACCCCACACCTGATACTACACCAAGACAGTTTAACTTTGTGTATGAAAATTTTATAAAATAATTTTGTTGATTATGTATATTTTACAGACTATATTATTAACAACGGCAAGATTTGCACATCATGAAATAAGAATGTAGCCTGTTGAAAATAATTTTAAAATAGTGATAATGTTAATATATAAGGAATTGCCTTAAAAATTATCTAAACAGAATGAAATACTAAACCTTTAATATTTTTAACCCCACACGTGACATTACATAAAAGAATACGATTAATAGGCGTGTGAAAAAAATTTCGTTTTCTTTCCCAAGAATTGTGGCATGCTGGGATGTTAGATATTAAAATGTAACTGTGTTTAAAGAAAAAAATATATAAAAACTTGGTTAAAGTTAGTTTATCAGGGATATCATTCTATTTACGTCGTAACTATTAATTCATTTAAATTAATAATAATTTGGTTAGTGTTTATCTGAATATTATATAACTAATTACTCGTTATGTAATTCCAATTTTGTAATTTTCGCCGCCATATAATCAAGAAAACAAATTTTGAAAAAATAGTTTTAAAATACAGTCATAAAATAATATAAAGTAATTGGCTTAAAAGTTTATATCAATAATTTACTAGCAGCGACAAATTTTGTAGCGCAACTTCGATTCTACTCCAATAATTTGTAAAATAATTCTAATTTTTTAATTTTAACCATAATATAAATGAGAAACCAAATTTTAAAGATTGTATCATCATAGCATCGTGAAATGAAGGTATAATCTTTGAACCATAATTTTAAAATTGGCTTATAAGGTATGTAAAATATAACAAAACGAAATAATAAAGGCCTAATATATTTAACCCCACACCTGACACTACATTAAAGGACAGTTTTAATTTGTGTGTAATAATTTTGTAAGCAAATATTTTTTTCGGAATTTTCCCTAATATTCAGGATCAGTGTAGTTTAAATTCTATCAAAAAGCACATATAAAAATCGACATTCATCTAAAAAAGGAAAAGCGCATTTTCAACGTGCATTTCAATAGTTTTGATTAATTCGGCTCACGGTACAAAACCAATTTATTTATTTATTTTTATTTTTTCTATAGTATTCGTTAATTTATTATGAAGTTCGCTAACCGCAAACCTCAATTATCCTAGTAAATGAAGCTAGCGGTATAAAATAACTTTTCGCAGAATGCGGAACCGAGCTTTTACTTAAAACTAATTTAAAGCACAAGTATTTTCGTTCAGGCACCATTTAATGACCTTTAAAAACTATGCCTTCAAATTCCTTTTTGTTAGTAATGCTTTCGTTGATTTCATAAAAAAAAATTAAAATAAATTGTAATTAAAACTGCTAATTTAAAAAATAATTTAACAGAAAATATATTCTAACAAAGAAAACAACGTCGAAAAATTGGGTCAAAATGTCGAAAAATAAGTGATTAAAGTTTACGTAAAGCAATACATGAGAAATTTGATCAATTACTCGGAAGTGCTCGAAATCTAAATTCTTAGTTGCTAGAACTAATGGAAATTTGATGAAATTGGCCCACTTCAGTTAAAATCAGTTTTGGCTTCACTTAAATGCCTCGCATGTTGTCAGTTCCTTTACTACGTTAACTTTGTTATCGTAGACAGGAAATCCCTTACTTTTTGGCGAATTGATATCGCCAAAGAATTGAGCAAAGTAGTGTCAAGTTTCCACCAAAACAAAACAAATAAACAGTTTTGATTCTAAATTGTTGCGAAACATTTTGAACCTTATTTTGGACTAGGTGTTTACATCAAATACCTGCATATATGAATTAAAACTGTTTTAGTTGGGTCTAGTTTCCATACTTCAACGCCAGTCGGAATTAAGTAATGAAAATGTGCCGTGTAAATCCATTACTGTAAGATTATAAGGATTTCATACTACTTTAATTACCCATACTCGCCGGATTTGGCACTCAATGACTTTTTCCTATTCCGCCACGTGAATTGAACATTTTACAGGCTGCCAAATAAGTTGAATTTTCTTTTGTATGTTTAAATTGCCTTAACAAATTTGACAGTTGCGCACTTACCTATAACACACGGCAAAATGTATTTCTGCATCGCCATAAAATTTCTAAGCAACCTTGATCAAAGCGCAATCTGGAGAATGTTGAGGCAAAATCAGTTGTACACTTTTCATGCGCAAAGTATTATTCAAGCTTTAGTAACATGATTTTGTGAGTGAAATAGGGAATTCTAATTATAAACAACACTTTTTTATACGGACCAGACCTGCTCTCGTAATGAATGTTTAATTTAAAAACAAAGGTATTGGGGGACCCATATTTACATGAAGTTTTCGGCTTCAACTAACGCTTGTTTTCTTTGAAGGCCTAACAAAAACGTGCGATTCACTATAACAAAATCAATTATTGCTCCTGATTTCGATCCATTTGAATTGGGCGATTTCCACCACTCATAATAGTATAACTTAACCTCAACTGCAAATATTAAAACATAAACAAAACATAACAAACAATTCTTAGCCTAGAATCTTATAAAACAATTAAAATATAATATGCAATGCCACTTTAGTCACGATTATTAAAAAAATAAACGTTAGAATAATCTAAGAGGTGATATCCTCATTTCTTTGATACTCCTCCGTTTGTAAGTTCAAAATTGAGCTCCTAGTTTATATGAATATTATACAGAAGTGATAAAAACAGTATAAAACTCATACGTCAGGTCTAAATTCGAGTATGTATTAGTAGTTTGGTCTTCTGGGTACAACTGTCATATTAATAGCGTGGAAAAAATTCAATGTAAATTGTTGAAGTATATATACGGTATAAGTTGGATTGAGTATATCCCCCACAAGACTTTTCGCATACAATATTATTAAATATTTTTGGTTATGTGTCTCTTAGTGATCGCTATGATTACCGTTATTTAATGAACTTTATTAAATTTTCTTGTTCCCCTTATTAACTATAAACATTTCCGCCCACAAAAAGAACATATATTTTAACAATTTTCTACTTATTTTGTCCTAATTTCAGTCTTTTCCTATTCTTATGTTTTTTTATTATAGTTAATGCTTATGTCAGGCTGTTTTAGGTTAAGTTTCGTGATATCATCAGTACTTGCAATGCCACTCTTTAATACTTTCTACTTGTTAGTTTTGCTTGGTTAGTTTTAGCTTCATGCCTGTTATGTAGACTTCTTTAAATAAAGAAATAAATATTGAGTAATTTCATTTGAAATTTTTTAAGGAATATAATTTTAATTTGTGTGTAAAAATTTTGGAGGGAAATATTTTTTTCGGTGTTTTCGTTAAGGATCGTGGCATATTTTGCTGAAACTAACATCAGTTAAATCATTTTTATGTAGGTCATGGTAACATTAAGTAATGTACTTAAAAGTTATCTAAAATACAACAAAAGAAAATACTAAAAAGGCAATGTGTTTAACCCCACATCTGACACCACACTAAAGGGCAGTTTTGATTTGTCTGCGAAAAATTTAGAGGCCATTATTTTTTTTAATTTATATTTTGACAAATAGAACAAATAAAAGTCGACATTAATCTAAAAACAAAAAGCATACTTTCCACATTAATTTCGGTAATTTTGATTAATTCAGTTCGCGGTACAACACTAATTTTAAATTTATTTATTATGTATTTTTACTTTCTATTATTTCTTTTTTTTTAAACAAGTTATTTAGAAATTCTGTTCCATACCTCCCTAAGCTATGTCCAAAATTTTATCTTTCTACTGGCTCCAGTGTAGTAATAAAAATTTTATGGAATTTATATTTTGGTCGGAAAAATGAAGAAAATAATTATTTTCTCGAAAGCCCCTAAAGATAAGCAAAAGAACGTATTATTCAAAAACAATGATAAAGTATTACCGGTTCAAAAAATGTAATAATATACATGGTGTTCCATTTAAAATTTCAATGTTGATGCTACTTTTTCGAAGATCGAGATCGATGGAACTAACCGTACTCTACTGGTCAAAGAAAAAAGAAGTTCATCTGGGCTATAAATTTGTTTTTAAGTAGCTATAATATTTGCCAAATTTGAAAGCAAAATCTAGAAGAGATTTTTTAAAAATAGGCAACAAGGCAAACACCCTCTATATCTCCGAAATGAAGCATACGTTTATATGACAATAATAATTATATGACATAATAATAATTTATTTTTATCTGCGGAATACCTTGTTAAAGTTTCTCCATTATAATTCATGACCACCCTGTATAACTAAAAAAAAAACATTTGAATTACCTTGATAAAAATAAGAATTCAACTTAAAAAGCACCGTTTTTACCTCGTGCAGCGTGGAAAAGGTGTTTTGAATTTTTAAAAAAACTCACGCGTTCGGAGTGGAAAAAAATGTTTGGAATGTTGGGATTATGGCATGTAAAAATTGAATTCCAAGAGTTTTTTATATCACGATACGCGTGAATAGGGTTGTGAAAACAAGTTCAATCGTTCGAACACTTTCAAAACATGTGGCTGAAGTTAGATTTGGATTCGCATTTGCGAATATTACAGTGGACCAGTTCGTTATTTATCTTAATTTAAAAAACGTATTCCCTTGAAAATGCCGGGAAAGTAAGGACCGAAATGTTGTAAGGGAACTTCCAAAAACCATATCCAATGTTGCTATATAGAAAGTAACCCCTTTCACGCCAAAAAATAATTTAATTGAATTACTATTTCCCAATCTCGAAAAAATCTAACATTTTCCCAGAGATTTAACCAGACCTTTTAAAAACCACTTAAGGCAGCTTCAAAATGATGTCTTGCTCAACCACCTTGAAACCGTCGTTAACACATAAAACTACCACCAATAAAGAAATATCCAAAGATTCGATATATTTATTTCGCAATCTCAAAAAATCTGACGTTATCTCAGATATTCCATTAGATTAGATATGAATTAGACCATTAAAGAGAACTTAGGAGAGCTTCAAAATGATGTATTACCTTGGGTTTTTCATTATTGGGGGTAGTTTTTTTTATCTTCCCGACCGTTTCAACGTGGTTGAGTAATACATCATTTTAAAGCTCTATTAAGGGACTCTTCAATAGTCTAATTCAATATCTGGGTCAACTTCAGGTTTTTTCAGATTCCGAAATAAATAAACCGACTTTTAGGGTATCTCATTATTGGGGGTAGTTTTATATCTTCCGGACAATTTCAAGGTGGTTGAGCAATACATCATGTTGAAGCTCTTCTAAGTGGCCATTGAATGGTCTATTTCAATATCTCGGACAACGTCAGATGTTTTCGAGATTGCCAAATAAATATAACGAATATTTCTACGTTTCATAATTAGGGGTAGTTTTATATGTTCTTGAGGGTTTCGAGGTGGTTGAGTAATACATCATTTTGAAGCTCACCTAAGTGGCTCTTAATGGTCTGGTTGAATCTCTGGGACAATGTCAGATTTTTTCGAGATTGCGAAAGTGTAATTAAATTGTTTTTTGGGGTGATACGTGCGGAAATGGGGTTATTTTCTGTATAGCAACATTGGATATGGTTGTTGGAAGTTCGTTTACAATATTTCCGTGCTTACTTACCCCACATGTCCACACGAATATGTTTTTTTTTAATTAGGATAAGTAACGAACTGATCCACTGTAATATTCGCAAATCCAAATCTAACTTCAGCCACATTTTGAAAACTGTTTACTTTTGGCTTAACGCAGCGCCACCAGGCGGCGATATCGGCGATATTCGTAATGATGGATTCGACTAGGATAATTTCATCCGACATTAACGACAACATTTACATCTGGCTGTCCGACAACGGAACTTTGCTGCAATCGTATTCAGGTCCACGCGAATGCGTGAAAGTGACTACGAACATGAAATTTGCCGTCGCTACTAATGGAGATACCGCCTTGAAAATATGGTCGCTGGTGAAAGATGACGAACGATATACAGTCAGTCATTCGGAGGAAATTACATGTTTTGTCCTAACGATTGATTCGCAACATATAATAACGGGCTCGAGGGATATGTCGCTAAAAGTCTGGCAGATAGTCGGAGGGAAACTTTCTCAGGTAACAAGCAACGGCGAAATGAAAAGAGTCGTTTTCCTTTATTTCCTTTTCTTTATTGATGAACGCGTTTGGATGTATTTTTGCGCAAAGCAAATCGTTTACGTTTAATTGCATTCGGAGCGTTCGCAATTGAGTTAAAAGTTTTTATCCGTGTCAGCGCGGCTATTCTTTTTTATCTTTTTCTATTCGATCGTTCGTTCGGCTTTAAAAACGTACACAGGGTGTCTCAACTTTTAAAGTCTGTTTCAGAAGGTGTCGACTGATGAGGGACTACAGATGGATCTAACTAATACTTTAATCATTCAATCATTGCAATTTTTTTCTTTATTATCCATTATTATTTACACATCTTCTGGTTATTGAAAAAAATTATTAATATTTTTCAAACAAAAAACTCTACTCTTGTGGAATTTTTATATTTTTTGTCCTATGCTGTTTAAGTTGCGAATATTGCACTGATTATGAAAACTTAAAAAAAAATAATGACCACACTGTATAAACTTAATCCACGTTTAATCAAGATAAAATATTTTCATCTGCTGCCTTCGGTACTTCTTTGTACTGCTCAAGTATTTTTGATCCAATTTCCATAAAAAGAAGTTCATAAAAGTTTCCTAGTTATCAACATCAATTTTTTTTAAATAGAATTACACTATTGACATCTTCCTTGCCTAAACTTTTCTTGCTGCCTTTTCCACAATAATTTAAAACTCGCAGAATTTTTTTATTACTCTTGGCTTTTCTGAAATAGCCTATAATTTACAGCATAAAATTGGCACACATTTATTGAACTACAAATGATATTCAAAAATAACCGCACTAGAAATCGGGTGTCTGTTTGTGAAATCTTTGTTATATCTGTGAAATCATAACTCTAGCATAAGCTTCAATTTTCAAATTTATGTCAATTAAAGTTACCATATTAAACTGACGTTCCCAACGAGACACCCTGTATGTGCTGTATGGAAACATACAAATGTATTTATAAAAGAGTTTTTATTAATTATTTGCATTTTTCATAATTTTCATAATTGTTTTTCTGAATCGGAAGAAAAAGACACTAACACTTTTTCGAAAGGATTTTGGAAGTAATACTCATACATTGTTAATATATTTGTTTAAATTTAATAGTACAACAAACTATAAGAAAATCCAAGAAGTCTTTGTGAAATCTTGTAAAGTTTGTATTTTTAGTATTGCTGTTTCTCAACGAACGTAAATAATTAATTATTATGCTAAAAGCCATGAATTTGTACGAATATAGGTTTTAATTGGTCACACGGATTCAGTTACTTGCACAGCAGTGGCGGTATCAGACAAAACTCACGTGGTATCTGGAAGCTACGATAATAACCTAATCGTTTGGGACATTAACACTGGGGCAGATGTTCACACGTTATCTGCCCATCTGAGTTACGTCACGTGCTGTAAAATGTCTGGCGATGGAAGCATCGTAATATCCGGTAAGCAGTTTTTTATAGCTTTATATTAGTTTGTAAATCGCTAACCATACGCAATATTGCCCTAAATCCTCTATTGATCAGCAGCGTCGTTTACTAGATTTTTTAAAAATTTTCAGCCACCCTTACTGATTAATTTTCAGAATTTGTCATTTAAACGGTAATATCGGATAAATGCAACAGACTAAACTTTTGGAGTAATTCGAGATTCTATTTTTTTAGATGTTATATTAAAATTAGATTTTGCTGAAACTCTACTAGTCTGCACAGAGTTTTAAATAAGAACAAACAAGATAAGTTGAAACTTTATTGCAAATTGTATAGCAAGAGCACGAGTGTGATGCCTTTTAAAAGCCAAACCAAAAGCAAAAAAGCAAAGCAAAAAGGGTCCGTCATTAAGTTATTGGTAAATTTCATATATAAAAAAGGACAGTAATGTTGTTCAATTTTGTAAATAAATGCCAACTGTTCAAAGGGAATTAATCAAGTAGCCTCAGATGCTGTGTTTTAACATGTCTGTAATTGTTATCATTTAAAACATTGATGGGTGAGTTTAGAGCGCAAAATAAAAAAACGTGGCTAAGGAAGTTGGAGTTTATTAAAGTTGTGCTTAAATAGGTTGAAACTACAAAACATTATTAGAAAGAAAAAAAACGGATAAGTGTTCAAGTGTTCCACAATATTCGGATAGAAAGAGTAAGGGGAAAAGTTTATGCTCCGTTAAAATTTATGGTAAACTGTCATGTAAGAATCACCGATTTATCATAATAGATGCCTCGCTGGTTAGTTTCCTTTGGGTCCCTCTGGTGCAGCCATAATGTTGCACACAAACTCTGTGGTTTGACCCAAAATCTCGGCAATCTGGTAAAAGCCTTTTTCGGGTGGTAATTTAGACCGATTACCCATCCCAGGGGTGTAGCGATCAAGATTACGTAATATGATTAAAAAATGAATAACAGATGTTTCCAGTATTATTACGCTGCTATATGACACAACAATAGAAGTTTGCAGTAAATTAGGAAATTAAATAATTTTGATTAAGAAACATGTATTTTGAAATACGGTGTTCAATATTTTAAAATTTAACATAGCACATTCAATTTCTTTACATTAATTTTAACATACAATTACGGGTTATTATTATTTGTTATTATTAAAAATACAAATTAATTTAGGCTATGACATTAATTACTTTATCTGTTATTTATATTTATTTATAATTTATTATAAATAAATAATTATTTATATTTATTTATAAAATTTAAACTGTATTAAAAGTGCGCTGTAGACTCTCAATAAACATTTTATATGAAGGTAATTTTAAAAATGACAAAATGCGTTTTAAATGGTATATCATTTTATTTTAAGAAAAAGCGAAAGAGAAAAAAAACAAAACAAATAATATGCGGCTTGTTAAAAAAGGATATTACAGTGAATTTAAAATCAAAAACAAAGTTGAAATAAATTAGTTTACCATGTAAAACAAAGTGGTATTTTATTATATTTATTACTGATGTATTAAAAAATGTGATAACATTGTATTAAAAGGAGTTTTTAAAAATTAATGAATTTTTTTAAAAGCGTTTCAGAATTAATCAATACCATTCCCCTATAATAATTGCAGACCAAATTGTATGAGTGATACTCTTTACAGAATATTCCATGTAGATGCAATTAATTCTCAATTTCCTAAATATAGGTTCCGACGACAAAAGTATCATAATATGGGACACAAAGCAAGGTTTACAATTAACTTCACTACAGTTGCATTATCCGATAGTCGCTGTAGAGCCCACATCCGACTTTTCCAGAATAGCAGTTCTTTTGAAAGATACGCAGTACAGTCCTATTATATGCCTGCATAACACTCCTGCAAAGTATGTTAAATTACCTACATACTGCGCTCCAGATAAGGATGTTATTGAAAGTAAGTTTAATATACTTTTTTTATTAGTGGAGTTGTCTATACAATATGTATCAGTTCATACAGAATAGCAAGGCCTAGAAATTTGAGGAAAAGGTTCTTATAAGTGGGCAAGATAACTATGAGGAGCATTTTCTCATTGGTAATATAAATACACCGGGTCGCCAAACTTACTACTATCCAGTTCTAAACGTCAACTTTTATTCTATTTGTTTTTGTGCTTGTGATATAATATGTAGGTCGTAATTCGATTCAGCATACAAAGTGTCAAAAATGAGATTTAGAAGTGTTGATGATGTCAAAGTATGCTGTAGCAACACGAAATTTTCAAAAGCCTTTTGTTAATCTTACACATCTTGTTTACGAAACATTTTGAGACATATGTTTATATGAACTGATAAATATTCACTCTGTATATGTAATTGTGTTCCATTTTTGATTGCTTTCTGGCATATCTCTCTTATTAATAAAGCTAGCGTGTTGCGGCTTTCGTGACCGAAGGCTACTTTTCGTGGAATGAAACAGAAATGTCATATATATCTTGGACTATTAGATACAGGGTGATTTTCAGACGCTCTTTGCAGTCCGATTATGACTTAACTTATCGTAAAAGTGGAAACTGGTCTTGGTAGGGTTTTTTACGCAGTTTTTCAAAAGTGTGACACTATTTTGTAGTGGAAACTATTGTAATTATTATATTGTAGGTCTTTCTTCTATATCTTTGCTTCTGTTATAAGATATAGTCTAAATATTTAATGTGTTGCTTGGCATCAGTATATAGTCTATTTAAATTATTATAAAGAATAATTTGTCTTTATTATAGCTCTGAGTCTATTCGGCATACTAGGCACTAGTTTTCTGATTATTTCGCTTAGGATATTATTGCATTCTTCTGTAATCCGGGCACTTAGCTCCGAGTGATACGATATTTTCCTAGCTAAGGATGATTCTTCACTTTTTTGGACGAGCAGAACGAGAGTTTATTTTGTGGTGCTCCTAAAGTGCTTTACGATATACTGAATTGTTCTACGTATTTTTCACATTTGGAATTTCACGGTCTCTCACTTATTTTTAATAAACCTCATTTCACAATCAACCACTATATCAAAATGACTGCTAATTACTACAAAATGTTCATTTGTTTTTAAACAAATGGTTGACCGATAAAATATAAGTACTTGATAAATCCCTAAATGCAGTACTACTAAAATAATGATATGGTGTTGGGAGATTTTTTCGATATATTTTTGTTCAATAATTAACTAACAATATGTTTTTTATTATTGAATAAGTTATCAGATATAAACCAAGCATTTGGTTTTAACTAACACTTATAAAAATTTTCACACAAGCAAATAGCTCCTTCTAGATCTAAGCAGTGAAGATTATGCATTTTTTCGCAATGTGGAGATGGTAAAGAGGAAATGGTCTGGATCCAAATGTTGAAAAGTGTTTAAGTTTTACTTTTTCTCGCTTAACTATCACTTTTCGAAATAGATATTTTATTAGCAACACAACTATAGAAAGTGTCACCAAAGTTAGGGAGCCATATTTGACAGTAAACTGATCTTACTGTTTTAAAACCCATCATTGCCGCTAAGTTTCATGTCACTGTTCAAAGGGCATTTCTGAGATCCCCAGCATAAAAAGCCTGTATAAATATCTGCAATAATTATGATAGATGGTCTGGAAATTAGAACAACCTACTCACGTCCTTATTTAAAAAAAGCTTCTTTCCTAAGTTGGTGTTTTCCCATGTTGCTATTTTTATTTATATTTATATTACTATTTTTTCTTTTGTAAATTGGCTCAGCCAATGAGATTAATAAAAAAATATTTATTGTATGGCGACTTTTTTGTCTTGTCTAACTCCCTTGTTTGTTAGTTTTTCGCCCATATTTTGACCAGTTGCTTTAGCACTTGTACATTGTACCTAATGTCCAGTTTTTAGCCAGACTAAACATAGCAAATCGAATTATTTTCAAAAATTACGGTGTACCGATCATAGAAATATATGAAGCAATTTGAAAATTAAATTTTGGTTATTAATTTATTGTTTCCTATAAATTAGCGAAACGTATACCGTTGTACGTTGGAAATAGTATTAAAAGCAACATCGACAAATTGAATACGACGGTAACTTCCACTTAGTCCCCCGAAGTTTATTCCCAAAATTTCTAGGTCAAGCGGGCTACTTCGGGATTAAACCAATGTGGCGGAAAAGGGTTTGTCCGTCCAGGCAATACGAGGAAGCCTGTATTTGCGTGAGGGTTCTATTAAAAAAAAATCCCGTGACACTTTGACGTGATGACATCATAAGCGAGATAATATTTCAGCAGAGACAAGTCACGCGTAAGGAGATTGGAATCGATTTTCTTAAGTGTACGGAAAATTCGTTTCCGCTACGCAAACTTCTTAATTTGTATCCCCCCGTGTCTCGAATTGATCTTCACGTAATAATTTAACACCGTATAATGAAAAGCTATCACGTTGTAGATCCGAAACCCGCACCGAAACGACAAATGAAGAGACTGCTTAAAAAGGAAGTTTCGCTCGATACGTACACTTGGCAGAAAAAATACGCTCACTTAACTTCGAATCTGGTAATCCCGTCGATAGATGAAAGATTCAAAAGACGATTTTCTGTATCCGCTAGTATGGAAGAGATCTCAAAAATACCACAAACCGAGCAAAAGGTATAACGAGTGGTTGTTTAATTTCTGTATAGGAAACGACGATCTTTCGTGATGTTTTATTAGGGAATGGGGTCAAAGCAAGCTTCGCTGGCTCAGTCGCAGCACTTCGATCAGTTGGAAGCACTTTGGAACAAGAGGTCCCCTCCCAATCGAAGGAAATTACATCAGGTAAGACATTTAAGCATAAATCATTCCCAACATTGATTATCTTCGTATTCCCGTTATACTGTACTGTTCAAAAAAAGTTACGCTAATTTTTATAGGGTGAATATAATGGGAAAAACTAATGTTAGTTTATTTAATAAACATGTATTCGAAACTGCTTCTTTAAAAGAAGCCCCAAATATTGCTTTTTGTATTATTTCTGCTTTTACTATATTTTTACTTGTTTCTGAATCAATCAAATATTTTTATGAGCAGTACAATAGAATAGAATACCATTTATTGGCAGAACAAATTTATTTCTCAAAACCGGAATAAAAAAAATACATACATAATATTACTTTTGAATGTTATTGACAACTAACCAGAAATTAAATATTTTGATCTATTGCATCGGAATTTGTACATGCCAAAGATGTATTTCAAGATATTTAAAATTTGTTGAATTCTAATTTGCGTTTTGGTCGCAAGCTGGTCCTAAAGAAAGTAACTTCTACTTTTTTGAGAAACTAAAATGATTTAGTCTATTAAGTCTAAATACATTCTAATCCAAGATTATGGTGTACTGTTTGGGGTTTGAAACAATACTACATTTTTAGACCATAATTAAATCATTAGTATTTTTTTTCAATTTTACGTTTTTTTTATGATTGTAAGACTTTCCTCTGTAAGCCCGAAAATTGATACTATATATATATATATATATATATATATATATATATATATATATATATATATATATATATATATATATATATATATATATATATATATATATATATATATATATAGAAACTTTTATGACCCAATAACCAATAATAAAAAAAATTGTTGATTCAAATTCTAATCGTTTCTTAATAAAAAATTACAGTCCTTGTCTAAGCAGTCCTCACTGGCGGAATCTCAAGTATATTCTTCGGACGAAGATCATATCGACGGAGGTCCATCTTAAGATTTAGATCTTTCATAATAGAATAGTGTGCTTGCAACAGTTTTCAAGTAAATTGTAACCTATATTTCATCCCTACTCTCATTCTGTTAATCGCCACAGTTTACATGCCTTCTACAGGGCGTTTTCTAATCCAATGTCGATATATATGTCAAACAACCTTGATATATGGGTGTACTTGGTACTTTTTAGATACAGAGTGGTAAAAAATAAAAGATTTTGATCAGTATTTTTGTAAACCTTGTTCAATGATGCCATTTTCAGTGAAATGAAACAAATCATACGTCTATAAAAAGTCCTCTTGTTAAAATAGATCCAAAATAAATCAGTCCCATAAATACTGACATTCGATTAGAGGCCACCCTATACACTCTTTAACGAAAGAAATATATCTATCACAAATGTGAGACCTTGTACTTGACCTTTTACTTAGCTTATCCAGTCTTATAGTTAACTTTTACCCCTGGAGTAGATGCAAGTGCTATTATATACAGGGTGACTTACTAAGCGACTCTGTATGTAGATATAACACGATTGTGCTGGAATGTGGTCTTTGAAGTGGACTAAAATTTCTTTCGACATTTAAAAAGAGTTTAGTCCACCAAAGATTTTCTTTTTTCTTTTTATTTCAATTAGGTCTTCAAAAGAAGTAGATATAAAAATGCAAAAAATAATAAGCACCCAATATATATATGGCGATGTAGAGATCGCCTTTTCAATAATGCAAATGATAATCTTGTCGACTAAGTGCTTTTCTACGACTGTTTTAGATGTTCTGTGAAAATATTATATTTATGTATTATAATTTTGATCAGTTTTACCCAATAAAGGGGCAAAGCTCCCAAACACAAAAAAGGCAGAATTGGGCCGGAAGGCTATCAACACGTATACAATATCGGTGTTATTTTTAATAAAATTGCTATTTGAAAATGATAATGTACTGTTGATTGTCTTCTATTATATGCAGCCTATCTTTGTGTATGAGCCTGTATTTATTTTATTGTTAAATATTATGAACATTAACTTCCCATTCCATCTCGTGATTTTAGCTTGTTGTTTACCTAAACTTTAATAAATGAATATCAAATGTTTTTCCCCGATCCGGAAATATATTTTAGCGAAGCAGTGCTGTTTTAAGTTTTTTTACATTCTCAGGACCAAAATGATTAATAATCCTTCTAAGAGCGAATGAATAGTATATGTTATTGTAACTACAATTTATAAATTCATATTTTTATATTAATTTATTTAATTCGATATATTGTATCACGTCCCTAAATATAAAATTAAATAATTTTGTAGGTTAAAGCTAAAAAAATGACCTCATATTTGTAAATTGTGCGTAGCTCTCACTTAATTGATCATTATTTATTACCAAGTTAAATGATATTTTATATTGTTACTCCTTCAAGAATGAAATAACTAGCTTTAGCGGTCACTAAAATTTACTTAACAAACCTAAATATTATCACCTAAATAAATTTAACTAAACCGCGTAGAATAAATGGAGTCTTCATCCTTCAAATTCCAAATGCTGTCTAAAATGAACACTAAAATCTCTCTAAACTATTAAGCAATAACAATTAGGTATGCGTAAACTCCCATTTTAGGATGAAAACTGGTATGTGTAAATCATCAGTATGTGTAATAGATATTAGATGGAAAACAAAATAAAATATTTAGAAGCCCAAGTAGTTTGTTTAAAACAGTACTTAGACCCAGCGAAATCTTTAATACACGAAATAAAATGTTTAAAATTTGAATATTTAGTTCGTTTAAAGCTGCTTAAAAGGATAATAAAATATTTAGTGTATATAAAGAGGTGTTATTAAGGAGCCCACGTATTTTATTTATTTAAAGCTGTCCTAAAATTCTTTATTATTTAACGACAATTTAAAAACGGTCAAACGGTTCTAATCATTTTAAAAAAGCGAAACCATTACTAGCGACACCCATTACCTGGAACTTCACGTACATTCGAAAATATGACTAGATGATCGATGAGGTTCAGATTTTTACCAATACACGGCGCGATCAGCCTACGTCTCACCGTTACCTTCCGATTTCTGCGATGTTTATCGAAGTACGCCTCGATTGAAATGACGGTTTACATTGGAAATACAAGCACATATAATTGCTAATAATTTAGTAGTAGTAGATATGTTTCTCACCTATTTGTATTCGACCTGTTATAGATTGAGACAGTACCATTTTCAAAAACTTGTGTAATGTTGTATATTGTTTTTCAAAATTTTATATTTTCCATTTTACCATCTTGTAATAGATTGATTTGTTACTAAACTATCAATATTTAATGTGGCTGTCTTTTCATGTTAAGTAATAAAACCCTTTGAAAATATTTCTAAATTTATTTACCTTAATTCTCATTGTGTAATTAGACATAATTTACAGGTCCAAATAGAACTTATGTTTAAACTGACTTGAAATTAAAATTTGAAGTTTAATTTTATACTGACCTCCCTTCTAAAAAAAAGATTCCAGGCAGTTTTTGTGCTTCCACGTTTTTATACAGAGTTCGCACTTCCTCAACCTTAGTATTCTGTGAAAACTAGAGTTGGATCTATAAAAAAAGATGAAAATAATTGCTTCAAGTTTTTTTGAGTCAAAACTGGAATTTTCCTTAAAAAGAGAGGTCAGGCCATTTAAAGATTCATAAAAGCATGAAAGGGGAGATAATAATTAATAATATCTGCAGGGATGGACTTAATTTTTAATGTACTCATTTTCATTATTTTTGGGACAACACAAACACCATCGAAAATATATGTTTTTCATTTTTTTTAAATCAATATAAAGTTGGGTGTTTCCACATTTTCAACCTAAATTTTGTTGAATGCGGCAATATCCACACTTTGGACCTGTAATAATAACAAAGTTGAATCAGAAATCATTTTTTTAGCAATTTAAATACACAACTTACTAGTTCCAATTCTTCAATTTGTTCTGTAAGCCAGTCAATAGATACCTTATCATCTTCAACGACGGAAGAAATTTGCAACTTTCGAATACCGTAAGCTAAAGGAACTAACTTGGAGGCACCCCACAATAAACCATCTGATTCAATAGCCCTAACATTTGCCTCAACTTGTGCCATATCTGTTTCATCATCCCATGGTTTGACATCCAATATAACATTTGATTTTGCTATCAGAACTGGTTCTAAAAAACTCACAATAAAAAATGACATCCAAATCCTGTCATCAAATGTACAAACTTTTTGATTTTTTGGCTGCATAAGCAGCAAGGCGTTCTTCTCTAATTTTTGCAGTTTCCTCATCTTCCTCATCAGAGCCCGATGCAAATAAATCAATATCATCATCATCATCATTTTGATCATCCTTTTTAGGTGCAGATTTTATATTTATTTCGTGGACAGGTTGTTTGTGATTTACTTGAACAAGACCTTCCAAAGTAGTGACACGAATATTTAAAGATTGCAAGTGTTCTAAAATGGTATTAATTGCTAAAATAAAAAAGGTGTAACAGTAATCAGTCCACTAGAAATGACCAAAACCAGGCTTACATTTTTCAAATTCCATTACTTTCTTTTCTATGAATTTAAATGCACCTACATCCACAGATGGACCACTCGAAATGTCACTCTATAGAGAATTTTATAAAATTAGAAGACTAAAGTCAAAAACATATTTTTTAACAATAATAACAGTTCACAAAATACTGAAACTCTTACTTACAGTAAAAGCATCTCTACTTTCTATCAATTTCTGTCTAGTTTTCGCGATTTCATCAGCCAAAGGTGTAAGGACGGCCTGCACAAAAAAAGAGGTTTTACGGAAATTAAAAGATCACTTGCACGGATATGTTTTGTAGGACGGCAACATTTAAATGAAATAACTACCTTTGATACATTGGCATAATAATCAGCTTCCGCCGCTTCATAAACCTTTTTTGAAAGCCAGACTCCATCCAAACCAATGCTCTTCATTTTTAAATCTGTAAAAAGCAAAACGTGGTCAGTATATGAATACGCAATTTTTAATCATATAACCGAACTTTAATGCGTATTAAAAATTGCCTACCTTTGAGAAACGCTCAAAGTTATTAATAGAAATTTAAAAATTATTTCAAAGCCAACGAAAGCAATCTTTCCGACACGATTGGGAACGCACTTCTTAGAGAACTTTCAGGTTATGTTTCCTTTGTCTTCATCTTTAAAACTGTCACGGCTTATTTTTAAAGGGACAAATATCAAAATTTTTAATTAACTGTTCATCGTTTTCCTTTGTGGCTCATAAATTCACACCTCGAAATTAAATAAAGGAAATAACAAAAACAGGAATTACGGCGACAATGTGTACAACCCCATAAGAACTATAGATTTTTAATAAATATTCTATAGCCTGCAAACATATTCTTGAAATAAAATATTAAATATCTTAAGAACTGTGGAACTTAGCTAGTTTATTTATTTATTATTTAGTTTATTTATAAATGACCACGGACATTTGCGGTACTGACTTTATGTACTACAAAATTTCTGAACCTGTAAATGACACGAAGTCATCCAAAAATTCAGTCTACCAATCTCGTTCAGTTCAGTTTTTTTTTATGCCAAAATATATATAATAGATAACTATTTATGACATGTTTTATTGACTATTTTTTTTTAAGTATTAAAAGCTAGTCAAGAAAAACTTAAACTACTGGTTAGTGACGCCAAGAAATTTAAATTACCCACTAAGAGATGTCGCTACACCAACATCTATCCCGAACCATAGGCGGCTTTTGATTGGTCCCGAAAGGATCCGAATTCAACGAGTCCAGTTTTAGCGTCTTGCTTATGTTAGTTGGTTTGAAAGTTTAAAATTTTATTACCAAATATCGTTTATTTACGCTGTGTTAGTTGCTTTATTTGTGTGGATATTTAGCAGAGGTGATTGCTTGCTCCATCATGGCTGTATAAAGGTAAGCAATTAATTTAGTTTTTCATATTTGCGTGAAAAAGAAATAAAGCGATAGTGATAGTTATAATTATTATATCTTCAAACATTATACAAAACTTTGGTTGAGTTATTTCATTAGTTTAAACAAAAACAATGTATGTAATAAGCGTAACTTGATGACCTGCAACTGATTAATACTACAATGCGACAAAATCAAAAATAAATCTGTATACCTATAGGGAGGAGATTATGAAAATATCACTGTCGTCGCATTTGGCAAAAAATATTTTTGAGTATACAAATGTCCTAAGTAAAAGGAGATTTAAAATTTCCAGTATTGCTGCGCAAAATATGTGGTGTATTATATCACTAACAAATTTTTAATACTCAACCAACTCAAACAAAAGCAAAAGTTATTTCTTTCTGAGGAATGGTATTGGTATTGGTATTGGTATTGGTATTGGTATTAAAGGGGGGCGTCCAAGCACTTAGGCCACCAGATGAGCCCGTTGTGCCCCCAGGCCACTATAAAGGGCGTCCAGAATGCCGCCCCTCCTATAGAAGGTCAGCAACTCGTTTAGCCCAATACCGTGCACTGAGTCCGGATCCATCAGGGCCGTTCCGAAGACTCCCAATCTTGCCCATGTCAAGGCAGGGCACTCGGTGAGCAGATGATACGGGGTCTCCTCTACTTCCATGCACCACCTACACTCCGGGTCGTCTCCAATGCCTAGCAAACAAAGATGCCTCCTAAGCCTGCAATGTCCTGTGTAGTCTTCTGTTAGTGCTCTACACTCCCTTCTGGTCAGTCTAGGCAGCTCCCTGGTCCGAGGAAGGGCGAGCCCATCCATAATAAGCCTCGCCTGCCTCATTCCCGAAGCAACTCTCCAGCCCCCCGCGGCTCGGTCTCTCGCCCAGGCTTCGAGAGCTCCCCGCCTCACACACGGGGCGATCCCCAAGCGGGGCTCTGGCCCTATATCCCTATGCGAGGAGCCCTCTCTGGCTACGGCGTCCGCTGCCTCATTGCCCCGGATACCGGTGTGACCCGGGACCCAGATCAACGTGACCTTTCTCTCCTCAGCCACCCTCCTCAGTACCCCTTTGCACTCCTTTATCAACAAGGAGCGCCGACGCACTGACTTCAGCGCCATGAGTGCAGCCCTACTATCCGAGCAGAAGAAGACTCTCCTGCTTCCGTGGTTGAGCCGAAGCACCTCTTTGGCCGCCATCAATAATGAGAAAATTTCCGCCTGAAACACATAGCAGTACTGACCCAGAGGGACCGACAAGCTCGATCCCGTTGTCTCTCAGTACGCTCCAGCTCCGGCCAGATCTCCCATTCTGGACCCGTCCGTGTACCAGGCAAGTCCATCCCAGGAGCCGACTCTGCCCTCTCTCCAATCTTCCCTTGATGGAAAGAGAAAGGTCAATTTGTCAAAGAAGGTCATCTCGGGGATCATGAGGTCACTCGGCATGCCCATGACCCCGCGATCCCCGCGACAGCCCTCTAAAATGTCGTACGGACCCCGATTGAAGGTTCCCTCCGTCCAGAGCCCGCAGCTCGCCAGCCTCACAGCTGTCCTGGCCGCCTCCGTCTGCACCCGATCCGCCAGAGAGGGCAACCCCACCAGAGCCTCTAGGGCCCTCGTGGGCGCCGTTCTCATGGCGCCCGTTATGCAGAGGCAAGCCAATCTCTGCAGTTTGTCAAGAACTAGCCTTGCTCCCGCTCTTTTGGTCCCCGGCCACCATGCCACTGCCCCATGCGTGAGCATAGGCACCACCATGGTACCGTAGATCCACTGCATGATCTTCGGCCCCAGGCCCCAAGTGCCCCCTACCGCTCTCCGGCACGCCCACAGAGCTCCAAAGGCCGACCTGGTCCTTGATCTTATATGTTCCTGGAAGGTCCACTTAGAATCCAACCATACGCCCAAGTACTTGACACTCCCGTTTGCAGAAAGAGGCACCCCATCCATCGAAATGTTGAGGTTGCACTCCATCTTCCTTTTTCTAATGAAGATGACCATCTCTACCTTGCCAGAATTGACAGCCAACTTGCTGTCCAGGCACCATTGTGAGAATCTTGCCAATGCCCCGTTCAGGAGCCACTGCATCCTCCTCACGTCCGTCCCCTGTGTCATTATGACAAGGTCGTCTGCATATGCCTGAGCATAGACAAATGACAAAGGAAACAAAGTTTTTATTAGGGTTTGGATTCTTGGACAGATGATCTTATATTCAGTAGAATGCTAGGTACAAAAAGTCTCCAATGGGATTCCATTGTGATCAGTATTAAACAATTAGAGACTGTTTTAGGAAATTGTTTTTCATTTCATTCAATTACTTTAAATCGAAACATTAAATGTTGACATGGAACCAAAATTGAGTTTAAAATTAGTTTGATATTGAAAACATTTGTTTAATTGTTTTCTTTAGGCTTCTATGCTGCTTTAATATTAATTTGAGAAATATCTAGCTAATTTTTTGCTTCTCGTTTCAGGTTAGTGGGTAGTCTCAGCGTGCCTAAGGTAATCATATATTTATAAATTAATTAAAGATCGAGTCACTGCAATGGTTGTTTTCTCGTCTGTAAGAACTGGTATAGTGTTTTTTTTTTTAATTTTTGATCTTATACAATTTCAATTTGATCAAAGGCTTCTTATGCCTTACTTTATTTAGTCGAATATTTCTCCGTTATGTCTGGTAAAAATAAAAAAAAACATGCCGTTTTACTTTTTACAAATATTACAGTGAATAGATTTACTTAGAACTAAATATTAAACAAAAAGTTGCCCAATGATCTGATCTCATGGAAGTTCAGAAAAATGGCTTCAATATAGTTCAATTTCAGTTAAACTTGGGCCAACTCCACAAGTCTTCAAGCAATATTTTGAATGTATTTCATGTTTTGTTGTGCTGACTTTATGTAATCCATTACCACTCAATTTGGAGGCACATATCACCTTGTTAAGAAATATAAGTCACAATTAAGGAACAACTGTTGAATTAAAACGAATAAAAACTCTTTAAAACAAATTTATTTGATCTTTAATTGGTAAAAGAAGAAGACATTATGCTTGAGCAACAGCCTGAGCATTTGCTTGACTATTAGCACCGCCTTGGAAACCGTTAGATCTGCTACTACTGCTGGCAGACGACGAAGATGCCGAAAACCCGTTTCCTTTGAACGTTTGAGACTGAGCATTGGCATTAGCTTCGCCGCCTCCACTGGCACCTATAGTAAAACACAAGCGTTTCAAATTACATAGTCGATAGTCAAAAATTACCTGCGGATGCTCCTCCAGCAAATGGTGGTGCTCCTCCGTTCACTGCATGGGCGCCACCATTACTTGCACCGCCTGATCCTCCTCCACCTAACAATATCATAGAATAGTTAATGAACTAAACCTCTTTAAAAACTTCATACCCAATTGGTTATATCCTCCAGGTCGACCATGGCCTCCGCGATTATGTCCTCTATGCCCCCCCGGGCCAAACTCAGATCCAGGAAAATGGAAGCCTCCTGAAATTTGCGTTTATTTGGTTACATTAAACTTGTAATTATGTTTAGTGCTAAATACCTTGCGCATCTGCTTCTGCTTTTGAGTTGGCATGCGAGCCTCCAAATCCTCCCGCAGAAGCTTGGGCGTTAGATTCAGCGTTGGCGTTAGAGCCACCCCAGTGGCGTCTCGGAGATCTGACCACCCGAGTGTTACTTTTAGTAGAACCTACTAACTGCAGCGGCACATATATGTCACCATCATATTCTAGTCCGGGTACCACTAAAATATAAATAAAGAACTGCGATGCCGTAAAATTGTACATTTCCATTAAGCACCGTTAAAAGCAATTCTACAGTAAAAATAGTGGACATTATGTATAGAGTAAACTCAACACTTACGCTGATAGCTCGCCGCACTACATAATACCAAAACGGAACACAAGGAAACGGCACACCTCAAATCCATATTTTGGAGATTTCGCCTAGTCAAGAAATGTTATGTTATTTATATAAAATCTAAATAAACAAGCGTCCCCACTACCTTTTAGCCAATATTTGCTCAATACATTAAAAATCGGGAACTACCAAAGAAGTTTTATAGAAAAACTTGTTTAAAAAAAATTAAATAAACAGTATCCACGCTTTAACAAGGCGAAATCATCTTACCAAGATATGCTTATGCTAATTAACCATATTATACACAGTTGTCAAATTTTATCGTTTTTGGCAATGATTATCAATTTAGATTTCTTTAAGCAATAAGTGACCTGCGTAATATTAACATGCAAGTGCTCCAGTAACGCATATTTTGAGGTAATAATTGAATATAATATTTTATTCTAAAATGTGGAATACGAAATATATGTATAATGACCGCAGACATTATTTCTTATTAATTTGCCCATTTCTCAACACTATGTAAATTTTCTTCAAAATAAATTAGCGATGTCGTCATAGCTAATTTAGAAGTTAGTTTCCTGTATATGTCTTCCACGTATTCAAGTCATATCTTAATAAAACACAAAAATGAACCGTTTAGCTGTTTTGATTTCACCGATTTTTTTTTAAAACCACACATTATACTGCCCTTTTAAAATTTTGTTTTAGAAAATATCTTTTACGGACAAAATTACTTTCAGAAAAAGGTGTTTGGGGTGGGTTTTGAAACTTTTTTTTGGTGTAGCTAAGAATTAAATATTTTTTTAATACAATTTAACAGGAAAATTAGATCACCATGGTAATAGTATTATTTGTATTTTCATTATAGAAAACAATGGTTTTGTATTTTTTTTGTCAAATCATAGTGTAGGAGTAGCACGTAAATATTAAGGGTGTACACAGGTCAAGTGGAACGAGACCCAGAGCAAATCAGAGCAGATTAAAAGATAGCCATTACTTCCAATCGATTTATTAGAGCAAACTGCATAAAATAAAAAAGTATTTTCAATAATTTATAGCGAAATGTTTTAAAAAATAAATAAATTATAAATATAAATATATTATAATGAAAATACATACAATACAATTTAACAGGAAAATTAGATCACCATGGTAATAGTATTATTTGTATTTTCATTATCGATTGTTAAGTAAACAACAACATTGCTTTTAATTTTTTAAAAATTAGAAAAGTATTTTTCACCACTGCAACTTTAACCACAGGTAGAAAACAATGGTTTTGTATTTTTTTTGTCAAATCATAGTGTAGGAGTAGCACGTAAATATTAAGGGTGTACACAGGTCAAGTGGAACGAGACCCAGAGGAAATCAGAGCAGATTAAAAGATAGCCATTACTTCCAATCGATTTATTAGAGCAAACTGCATAAAATAAAAAAGTATTTTCAATAATTTATAGCGAAACGTTTTAAAAAATAAATAAATTATAATGAAAATACATTTTTAAACTAAACAGATTTATTTTTTCCATCATATGCTAATACTGTTTAAAAGTACAAAAAAAGATAAAATTTTTAAAAACAAAAAACGATTATGAGTATTATTATACATAACAATGAACAGATATAAAAAGAATATTTTTTAACACACTAAATAGAGGTTGTTAAATAAATATCAGTTCTGTTGCTATATTAAAAGTAATTTTTGTCATTTTTTCCAAACCGTTTGTAACATTTTTTTTTTCGTGACGAACCAATTAATAATGCAGTGATATGTAGGAAAGGACAAGGGAGAAGAAAATACGACCTGAAGAGCTATAACAAATGTTTATTTAAATGAATGACATGGGCTACAGCTATAACGATGAACCACACACTCAGATAACACACACTCTCGACTGAGATCTGAATGTAGAATAATGCACAAAACCCTCGGCCTATCTAACATTCAAAGTTTAGAGAAAATACTTATGACAAAAAAATATCACCATTTACCCTGTGCAAGTCTCTGTTGTTGTCAAAATGCAAGTGACCAACTGTATTCAAGCGGACAGACTTGCTAGGTACTAGCTGAACATATGTTACAGGTACACAACATGAAAACACAGTGAAGGAAACCAATCAAAATCCTCCCAAGTACGGAGGATAACCGGGTGGATGTGAAGGGGTCGGTTGCGGATAACTGTAATACGGATAATTCGGGCTCGGTACATGAATGCCAGGGCCATAGCTTTGAGCATATGGAAGCTGTGGGTAACCTAAGGGCATAGGTTCATAATGACCGCTCCATGTTGGTGTGGGATACAGGGGATACCCTGAAGTGGGAGGGTAATTATATGGAACTGGACTAGCTCTTGAAGATGGTACACTGTAACTGTTGAATTGGCCGGAATACTGATCAGGAGTTTCACTCAAAGGTGCATCTCCCTCAGTAATACTAGGTATTTGATCAACTAATGACTCGAGACCAGAGAGACTTTTGGAAGCGATGTCTTGATTTTGCCTAGGAGATGAATATTGAGGATCTTGAGGTGGTTCCATGTAAGACTGATAATGATAAGGATGTTGTTCGCTGTTTGTGGAAGGTGACGGACTTAATCTGCTACAATCAACATCTTCAGCCATACTAGTAGGAGGTTCAAAATCTGGAGGCCCTATAGGAGAAGCGGGGGAACCCAATTGCTCTGAGCTAATAGCTGCGCTGATTTCTGAGCTTAGATCTGAATGTGTAAACGGCTGCGAATGTGGTCGTGGAGACTGGCTGTATGGTGGTCTAGGTGACTGGCTATATGGAGGTCGCGGAGAGTTATTATACTGAGGTCTTGGTGACTGATTGTATTGGGGTCTAGGTGACTGGCTATATGGGGGTCTGGGTGACTGATTGTAAGCGGGTCTTGGAGACTGGCTGTAAGGAGGTCTGGGAGATTGATTATAAGGAGGGGGCTGTGAACTATACAAAGCACCTGCACTGTTAGGTGGCGTCATTGCTGGCCCCATCGGATAGAAGTTATTAGGTGACTGTATTGGAGATGGACTTGAAAAACACTGAGACATATTTGTCGATGTATTATTTTCAGACTGGTTAATATCCGTATTTTCTACTTTTACCTTCTTAGGCCGACCTCTTTTTTTCTTAGGAAAATCACAGTTATTGTTTTGAGTAGGTGGGGGTTTACGAACTATTGGCTTGGGAGGAGGCTCTTCTCCTTCGATTTTAATCTTTTTTGGTCTACCTCGTTTCTTTTTACACGGTATAATAGTACCATCCTCAGTTTTGATCACAGCGTTGCTAATGTCGGTTAATTCTGTTGGATACAGATCTGCTTTTGGTTCAGCTTCATAGCAAGCTTTTACTTTGGGTTCGGTGAAGACCATTTCATTTTCATCAATCTCCGGGATAATGCCATTGAGATAATCCCTAAATTTCTTCAACGCAGCATAAAATGGCACTTTGTCAGCTGCCCTTGGGAGTTGGGCGCATCTGGCACTAGATGATGGCATTACCCACATATGCTGAAAGGAAAATAAAATCTTGAATAAATTTCGAAAACAAATTGGAGGCAAATTTACCGTGTCAGTGCCCTCCACTAAATCCGGTTGTCGCCCAAACTTAAAGTCCTTCTTTCCAGAAAACACCTCATATATGAGTTTACCATTAAATACAGCAATTTTGGGTCTAAATTTTCTTAACTTTTCTAATAGAATTTGGCTACCTTCCTTAATTTCCTTACGCGTTAAATCCGCACTACCTTTGGTGGCACGTGAAACCATATTAGTAAAGCCTATGCCAACTTGAAGTAATTTATAGTCTTCGTCTGCTGACATCTGCTGAGGTGTGAGACCGGATAAGTACAAACATTTCCAAAAATGATTTCCTGGACCAGCATAGTGATGGCCCTTGTAGGCCGCAAATAATCCGGGATTTATTCCAATCTGTTAAAATGAAGGTGTAACAAAGGGACCATGGAATAATAATAAATACCTACAATAATTATATCCAAGTTTTCTGTAAGATGATCGGGCAAAGTTCGTTTAGACACTTCCTCTTCAGGCATTCCATTAAACCGATCATGTTTCTTTCGTTCTTTTATAGGCCGTGGAATTCCTCCATTCAATTCTTGATTAAATTCGGGCCTTCAAAGAAGTTTCATAATTAAATCAAAAGAACTAAAGAGATTTACTTCTTTTAAATATATGGGTGTAGCATCTTTAAAAATACTTTACTAACCACATGTTCACACACAGGTCCATTTTACTAGCAACAAATTTTGCCGAATTTTTTTGAATACTGGAGAGATTTATCAACTAGAACGCTTTTAATCTTCGGCTGATAAGGCAGCGTTATCAAAGACCTTGGAATATAATTTATAATTGGCGCGGGTTACAACAATTTTTACTCCCGTTATTTCAACAGTGTTAAGTATGTTATCTGAACGCGTTGAGGCTATTATCTCACCGAGATTTGCATATACGGATTGCAAAAGTTAAAGTCAAGAACTAGGGAGTGAGATTTTGTAAGCCAGTCAATTTTCAACATGAGTATATTTAACCTCAAAACAACAACCAACACCTAATATTTACTCAACTAACATGCACATTACATTACAAAGTGGTACTTACTCGGGTTTGATTTTCTTTTTCCTCCCTCTTTTCTTTGGGCCAGGCATAATCTGATTATTGATTGTGGGCATGGGGTGCATAAGATGAGGGGGGCCTTGAGCAGAGGGAAGCATCGGAATCGGGTCATCATCAATAAAACTGTAGGGATCTTCCAATTTTTCACATTTTACTTCATGATTATGATTAATATTGTTCGGGTTGAGAAGCATATCAGCACTGGTTTCATAGCCATCATCGTGGGGTTCCAATTTCATGTTGCTAAAAGATTAAAAAAGCTCAATCTAACCTATCCATAAAAGTAAATTTAGAGAGGGTAAACAAATTTGTAGGACTAAAATGGCATCTATATATTCCAAGTGAAATCCATGCCCCAAGTCGTACAAATTTGTTATAATGGCTTGGTGGAAATTAACAAGAACCGTAAAAAAAATAAAATAAACAAAAACTTACGCACTATTTGGGCGTGTATCAGAAAGTTGTGCAAAACATTATGCGGGCAGGACACACTCAAGGCAAGGCCCGGAGGGATGTTGAATTATGTCTTTAGGGATTAGGCAACACATACACACCAAAGGCTAACTGGTAGATGTTGTGTAAACAGTGTTACAGCGGCCATCAAACAATAATTACAACTATAAACCAAAAAAGTTGGTAGAGTGAAGAACGGCAATGCATTATTCTTAAAAAACCTTGAACGCGTATACAATTTACCTGTCGATGGAAAGTTATACAAGCAGAAATAAGTGTGACAAAAATAAACACTTTGAAAACGAACTTAGATCGTGATAGCATGCCATCTCCGCTTTCCGCGGTTATAATTGGTAAATAAGTCGTAAAATACAAATGTTTACATGTGAATGGAGCGCGTGCGAGGGAACAATCAAGCGTACAGGGTCGCGAACGCAAAACTAGGTACATACTTACAGCTTGTACTTATTTGCGAAGGTCACCGGGTGGTTGTAATTTTCGTAGGATAATGGTCCAGGGCCGAGGCTGGGGAGACCCGAATCCGGTGCCCCTCCGCCACCGCCCGTTTCCATTGTCGCTCCCAGCAAGGTGGTGGACTCGCGAAAAAGAGTTGCCACCTGCATCGGCCAATAAGCCGAGCTTTCGCTCGGTAAAAATTTACAAAACTGTCCTCACTGCACGTTTACATTTGCACTAGCTTAGAAAAACCTAACAACAACCTCACCCTTTAAAAATAGTTCTAACTCTGTGATTGGTTCAACAAACGTTTTGAAAAATCAATAGAGTGTTATCAGCTTGTATTTTTGTTAAAGCCCCGCTCCGGAGCTCATTGGCGATGTCTCCACTAGCGTCGCTTCCTCTGACGCCTGACGTCGTTTTTTGGCAGCGCATTCTACAAAAAATTTTAGAAACTAAAAAATGGAAAAATGGCATTGTGTTAGTTACAGCGCGCTCCCTTGTTCGAAGTGATTCGTTGCGCTGACCCTAGGTGGCGCGCCGAACGTTTCCGAATAATTATCTTCGTTTCGCCTTTAAAGGCGCTTGAAAAACGTCGGTTAAAAAACTGAAAACTAGAATGAAATTGGGATACATATTAGTTTTAAAGTTAGAATATTTTATTAACTACCTTTAACATTGGGTTGCGAATCTACTCTAGCACTACTTCAAGGGATTGTTTACACTGATTCTAGTCTCCTATCTGTAACGTGGGTGCGGGTATTTTTAGATTAATAAAAATACGAAACTTGGGTTCGGACCTTTTAAGATATTCATTAGGGTCAGACAGTCTGTATTGTTTTAATACAGTATAATCTCTTTATCTGTATTACTTATTAGTTAACACAAAAGTAATTCTTTCTAAAATTAGAGTCTTCCTTTTGTATAAATTGAATTTCATGTCGACTTTATTCTTAAATATATCCGAGAGAGCAGATTTCTCACTCACGTATGAATCGATTTTCTCGCATTTTATTGTTTGATTTTAAAAATTTTTGTAATGATAAACACCTACGTCTGGATGAAGACTTAATTAGTATCTGGATTGTAGAGGTTACACTGTAAATCAATAAAGTACAATAAAATTTATTACTCAAATTTATTTGAAAAAAAAAACAAACTAAACTTTCGTTACATTCAACGACATAACAACACAAAATAATTAATAAGCTTCAATGGGCGCTAGAGTCTGACTCAGAAGTATCATCGCTATCATCTGAGGAGTCTTCGGATGAATCATCAGAACCATCATCTGATGCAATGCTGAGTTGAGCTAGTTCGGCAGACATCTTAAAACTGGCTTCAGTTTGTACCAAATTAAGTCCCAAGTCATCCTTTTGAATTTTTATAGACAGGACCTTATCGGTGAAAGCCTTCCACTTTGCCTCGTCCCAGTGCATGATAAAAGTGATATAATCATTTATAAATAAATTGTTTACGATATAACGGCAACAGTCGCCTTTCAGAAAAATGAAATATATATCAATCAAGCATCTCACTAGGTACCGCTTATCTAAGCACATTAACTTCTTAACATCTTCAAAGACTTTTTCACTTAATCTAAAGTTCCTATAAAGGGGGTAAATGACGCTCCTTCGAAATGCTGAAGTCAATGCTTTTTTTGGAGTCTCAAATGCATCGAGCCAGCTTAGAGTCGCAGCTAGTTTTATGATAGTCCAACCAGATTCTATACTTTCTTCATACATCATTGTACGACGATCATAACAATATGCATACAAAATATCAATAAGTCCATTGTAGCAATAATTTAGTTGTTTGTCGGTTAAGTCATAAACTTTTACATTTAAATTCCTCATAAAGTCATCTTCTCTATTGGTAAACTTGAATTCGTTTGAGTCAGACCATGGGTCGTCTTGTGCAATAATATCATTTATTTCCTGATCTTCCAATAAATCTGCGCAATAATGTTCCGAATTAAATTTGCCTTGTTCATATTGGAGTCTCATTTTCCCCCTGTCAGCCACTGATACTTTACAAGGATCTATTTCGAAAACATCACTAAATTCAGAACTTATTCTGATTAAATCCTTCCTGGCTCTAAGAGCAAATCCAAAACCATATTCTATAGTGTTACAACTAAACTCTTTATCCTCTTCAGTTTCGTTAAACAAAATTTCTATCTTCGGCTTGCCATCATTGTAGTTAGCACCAACACTATTGGTGAGGAACTTGGTAATGAGATCTAAATCCTTGAAATGTTCCCCCGGCGTTTCTTTTTCACAACGAAACGTAAATTCTGAAGAATCGCTATCAAACGAACATACGGAATCGGACTTATCGGCTATCAAATTTCCAGGCAAATTCAGTCTTAAATAATAGGGCCTGCAAACGAACAAGAAAACATTTTCGTTAATGTCTGCATCGAATTCTTTCAGGCTGCAATGGGGCGCATCTATTTTGATGGTCACAAATCTCGAGTCTTGCGTAAGCTTGAATCTGGGTACAATCATCTTCGAATTATGAAAATTTCGATAATTTCGGTTAAAAAACTTTACATTGGTTTGGAGGTTATGCTAATCATTCTTGCAGCGCTCTTTTAGATTGACAATGGGATGTACTAAATCGTCGACAGATGGCGCGATCACCTCGAATATTGCCAAAACCTTTCTAGGATGCTTTTAGTACGTTAAAATAATGGTTTTCTTGGCAAATCCATAAATTATAACCGCGAAAACGGTTTGTAGGTCAAACGAACGCATATAGCGGTTCGAACGGTGCTCATCTTCACATAGAAAGTAATGTACCATTAGCCAGAAAATTATTAGAAATGAAAGTTGATCATCACGTAACTGTTTTATTAGCGTTATCTTTCCGCTAGGAGAAGATCGTCAAATGTTGCCCACACCCGCGATAAATACGCGAAAATCCAAAAAGAATGTGTGGGTTTGTCTTGCGTAAGTTTCGTTTATACGAAACAAGACGAGTGAAAGGATTCACAACGCATATTACGAATAAGTTTAAGTCGCCTGTGTCGCTGGGCGGATTTATCTATCGCATTGCAATCCAAAAACGAATTACCTGTTGCTTTTCGGTAAATTCGTGTAAAATAAAAATTATTTTGGCTATTAAAACGAGGAATCGTCTATTACTGCGTGCGTTGGACCCATAAGGGAAGTTTGGAAATTGAAATTTATAAAACCCGTGGGCTGAGTTTAAGTCGAATTACAGCGTCATCAGTTGGCGCCCCCAACAGCCTAACATCTGCCGTGTTGTCCCATCTGCGAGTTTAGCTAAATCCTGGGACTCGGTTTTACTGCACGGTACGTCATTAGTATCTCAAAATGTACGGGACGCACCTAAGGGGGTAAAAAGTCTCCCGTGTTCTCCAAAGATGGTGGACAATGGGAAGAGTACATTTTTTTAAATTTTTATTATTAAATTAAATATTTTAAGAACGAGATTAGGCTTATCGATTGAGATACATGTATACACCTACCTATATTTCGTTAAAACGATTCTCAACGGAACACTACTGATCCAAAAACTAGCACTCTATACCGGATGTCCATTTTTCGATGGTTTTCGGGTTTTCGCCACACTGCGATACTTTTTCGAACAAAAAAAAAAGTCATTTTCTTTTTTGGTATTTACAATTTTCGAAGGCAAATAATTATTTTGAAATTATTTAAAACAGAAAGCTACAAGCCTGGCCATTTATTATTTTAAATGCAATAAGACGGATAGGAACCATATGTCAAACATGTTTAAAGCATAATGGAGAACAATTTGAGCAACATTTGTAATTATTTTTTAATCAATAATCATAAATAAAAATGAGTATTTTTTTTAGGTTAAAGAAAAATTACTAAAACTAAATAGAGGTTTTTTTTTATAACCTGTTAATGCCCAACTAATTAAGACGATTTTTTTTTCAAATCTTAAATATTAGCCTTAATATTAAAAAAAACTTTTGTTTTGTATATTTTTGAGAGAGGCCTTTAGAAAATATATTGGGTTTGGTGTACTTTTCCAAAATAATTGAAGATAAAAATCTGAGGGCGCCACTGAATCCCGCGTAAAAAACAGCAACAAACCTACGAGGGATCTCATATATACCCTACAAATCATAATAAAGTGAGGTTTGTTTAAAAATTCATTTTTTTTCTTTTACCTAGATTCTCGTGTTATTGAATTTAATTTCTAAATTTTATAATTTGCTGGACTTAGATCTCATATTTGCTTGCAGATTTTGTCGGTGCACCGAAAACAACAAAAAATAATAAATTTCCTTTCGAATTTTAAGACGAAAGTATGGTCTAAACTTTTCATCATTGTAATTAAAAAAAAAAAAACCTTTTTTTTTCTTGTTTTCTTAAACCCAAATTGTACTTCAACAAAGTAATATACGTAAAGCGTAATTTGCCGGTCTTTTTAAAATTTTGATATATTTTATAACTAAACAAAATTAAAAATACAACTTTTTTTTTCTCATAAATTATTTTCGTATTTTGCTTTGTTTTCGTGTTTGCATATCCCATAAAAAAATTGCGGTATAATGTCACAATTCTTAGAAGATGCTTAATGTTCATTTACAAATTTACAGCTTTGGTTTATTAAGATCAGCATTCTATTTAATTATGAACGAATAATTAGTCCCATTGTAGCTTCTCGTAATTATTCTTTTTCCATTTTTTTGTAAAATTAAGTATATAAACTCCAAATTATTAGCAACAATTTTTTTTTATGTTATTAATTACCACTGCATATATTACATTTCTTATTTTTTATTTTTCTTTATTGTTCATACGCAGGAAATAAATATATTATATAGAATATTCTGTGGAAATATTTTTACTTTTTTGGACATATTGTTAACAAATATTGTCAATTTACCTAAAATAAGTATTTGAGTGATTGATTGGAAATATTTGCCATATCTTCCATTTTTGTAAATACCTTTCCATTTTCATTCAGTTTTTTAAAGAAATAAAATAGCAAATTTAAAAATTAAATTAATGTATACTCTTGTAATCACTATTATTACATAAAGATCTTAAATTTTCTTTGCATAATTTGGTTGCATAAAATGGTTCAATTGAAATTTCATGCGACGCTGGTTATGTTTTTTTAATTATTTTATGTTTTTTATGCGATTTTATTTCAGTTAAAACTAAAAATTTTAAAATTTTTGTGTGTGTGTTAAATGGTTGAGAATTTATAACGGATCATTTTTTATGCATTTTTATTGAAAATTAGTGAAGAAAAAACGAAAAAATGTAAAACTGTAAAACTGGGCTATAGGAATCACCCTTTTGATGTACATGAAAATAAATCCTATTCAATTAACTTATCCTATAACTTATTTAATTATTTTGGGCGACGGTGTAGTAAGCCGTTGCGTTTAAATCGCAATGCTACATAGAAACAATATTTTATTTAAAAGTCCCGGTCACCTACCGCCGTATGTGGTAACACTACTTTCACGTGAGGAAGCATCTTCAATATGGAATTTGGAACGCAGCTTTGTATGCTTCAAACTCAGTACGGTACACCTTTAATCTCTTATCTCTCTGTCTCACTGTATTGCCAAGCTCTGGCCCCTGTAATATTTCCTGCCAATTCGGCTTAATGTTTATTTGATTTATTATAATTTCAAATACACCATTGCTTTAGTAACATAAACTTTGGAATTTTTTTATTTAAGGTTATCATTAACTTTAGAGTCAAGAAGTTTGTTCACATAATAGAGATACATAAGTGTTTAAGATACAGAAAACTCAGCATTGTAAAATAGAAATAAAATTTATCGAACTAAACCAAATGTTTTGGTTATTGGCTGCGAGCGCATTCAGAAAGCATATTTTTATTTTATGTCTAATTTAATATACTTACTTAAGCCTAACAGAGTTTTAAACTTCTTAAATCTAGTATTAAATATTAAACATACATACATAATTTTCCATAACAATAAAAATAATTTTCCAAAAATGAAAGTGATAAATCTGCCAGAAATCAGCGTTTCCAAATTGTATAACTTTACAATACAATACAATACCAAGCGAATAATATGAAGTTTAAAACTCTTCACAAATTCTTTAAAACAATAACAACTAGTGACACTTAAATAGTAGATACGTAAATATCCGCCATAATCATTTAATGAATTTAATAACTTAATTCATTTAATTCATTTTTGGGAAAAAAATATTAAAAGTTGTGGTCTAAAATGCTTAGTTTTTGTTTAATGCTTTGAAAAAATAAATGATGTTGATTAAAAATAATTGTTTCACAAAACACCACTATCTTTCTTACGTAAAGAGGGTCGTCTAAAAAAAAATCAGATATTAACTTTCTTTTAGAAATCGGCATTATTTAGGGAATAAAAATGAAACGTTGATACTCGTATCGGGACCACAAAGCATTTAAAATCGAAATTTTAGAATAACTGTTTTCGTTTAAAATTCCCTCTGCGAAATTACTTATTAACACCCTGTATATTATACCTTTGGGCTAAACTACCTTAAATTTACGTTTAATGCCAAATGGTATACATTACACAAAGATTTTGTGATTTGGTTATTTTTATTATTATTATTATTATTAGAATATTGGCTGGGAAATGTGAAGACATTGGAATAATACAACTAGGCGATTTAGAAGAAGATACCACCCGCTTTTCTGAATCTGAATTAGATGCAGATACCCTTAGTGATGATGGAGTGTTTCTCAGTAACAACAGTGATTTTGACAATGAGAACTTAATAACTTAGTAAGAGACTTAGGTTTACCTAAGGATATTTCCGAAATTCTAGCATTTAGAGTTCGAAATAGAAATTTATTTAAAATCTAATAAGGAAATTTGGTACAATTCCGAGGACTGGAGGCATTTTATTGACTCATCCAAGAGAAGTCTTAAAGCTGTTCATTTGCACAACGGAAATGTATTTACCTGTACCTGTTGAATTCTCTGTAATTGAAAGAATGCTACGAAAATCTGGAATTATTGTTTACTTTAAAATTGTGGGGCTTTTACTGTTTTTCGTGTGCGAAATAGACAACAACATTGGGTGAAGAAGAACTGGCCAAAATTTAACTCCCGGATCAAAAAATATTCTTAACGATAGTCTTATTGATCCATGAAATATTCCGTTGCATATTAAATTGGGACTGATGAAGCAGCACGTTAAAACGTTAATTAAAGATGGAACACGTTTGAAATAACTATGTGGAAAATTTCCCGATCTCTCACGTGCAAAATTAACGGCGCGTAATGGAAGATTAAGACTTGACTATTATTTTAGACTTACTACTAAAAACAATGTTGAAATCAAGCGAGATTTTTATTTATTAATTCTTCTAATGTTTCCATTCGGAAAAATTTTGAATTTTGGCTGTCTTGTCAATTGTGTATTTGGATCTTATCCCTGTTACCAAAATAAACATCCTGGTCACTGCAATGCAATTATTAATCATTAATTAATCAATAATAATAATCATACGATTAAATCACAGTTGTCTTTACATTTTGTCGATTTCCAAAAATCATTCATAATTCTGGGACGTCCGTTATTTTATGAAATACGCTTTTATTTGTAAAACAAATTGCCGTTATTTTAGATTCCATATAATTTCGGGACACTTTGTAACGACTGTAACGAGACACGACAAGAAGATACTTTCATCTTGCATACGGGTAACATTTTGATTCGAACCCATCCTTCGTTCGATGATACCTTTCTCTCTGCTGAATATTAAACAGGAAAAATCCACGTAATTTTGAATTAATTATGATCTTTACGAGATTGTGAAGACGGTTGTAAATAGCTGTAACTTGACTAATAAACAACTTTTCTATGATATTTACCATTCGAATAACAGTAAACGAATTAAACCTCGCTGTAGAGGTTGAAACAATGTCTACAAATGTTTGCCGATTTACGAACACACTCTTAGTATAGACGAATAACGCCGCTAAGGGTATTTTTATTCCGCAAATTTGATATTAAACAGTAGCGGCATCCTTCAAGAGCACTTCAAGTTTATGGGCTACTGGAGATAAGTTACCGACAAAAAGTTTTTAATGGATTTGTCTAAACTTGGCGGATGAGGGCGAAAAACCTTAGAAACCACCGCTAGTGTAAACCAATAACATTCCAAAAAGCAAAGTATACGAGGTCCGTTCAGTTATTATTCCTGTGAGTTCAATTTGCACTACACAGGTATGAGAAAGTATTAAGCCAAAAAAATTCAGAATAATGCGAAAGTGAATCAAAAAATGTAATAAAATCGGTATTGCCAGATGTTATTGTTAGAAACGTGCAATGTTGCCAAGTACCCAAATGTTTGCTGCAGTCCAAGAAACACCAACGTTTTAAGTGCCTATGTTGTAGTGACAGTTTCAGTCAAGCTCTGACAGGTTGATTGGCGAAACGTCAGCAAGATCGCTTCAGCAAAGACCGACTCAGGAAGAATCCAGAAGTTTGGTAAAAAGGAAACTAACCAATTGTTGAATATAAATATAAACACGTTAATAACTAAATATAAAAGTTGTTTGTATTTTGTTAATTGTTACTTTAAAGGTTTAATAGGTGTCTTTTTATTTAGCCATCATTAGTTTTCCTTAGTTTGTTTGAACAGTTCAGTAGCTCAAATACTAGACTGTACTAGACGATGGCACACCTAATGACTTTTGATGTTTATATGTTTTGGGCAGGTGAGAAATCGTTGAAGCACTAACGGGAAAATTGTCGAAAAGTATTCATTTATATCATGGATAGAAAAGCATTAATTAAATTAGTTCAAATATCTTCTCACAGATTTGTTACAAATTTGGCGGCATTGTTTCTAGCGATAAGGGGCTGAATTGGCATTAATGAAATAAAAATTAAACAGTGACTTTAGGGGTGGGGGGCAAATTTATAAAAAAAATAATTTAGTTTCGACATCATAATAAAAACTATTTTATTGCGGTCCATTTATCATAAAAAATATTCTCAACATTCCAATAATATTGGCGAAGAATTCGACTAAAAATGACTTGATATTTATCATAGAAAAAAGTAACCACCTCCGGATGCAGGAATCCAATATTTCCTGTCTGCTATGCTGGTGAGACGGCATTGATTATTGTTGAAAACACTTGGAAAGAATTATTTGCAAAAGCTGAAGAATTACTAAGTCCTAGCTAGATTATAGCCTACTGTCACGTAATTGTGGAATGGTGCTCCAGTTTTGCAAAGAATAAAAATTAATTAAAAAATAATCATTATATAAACTAAAAAAACTAAAATATGGGGTAGTTTTTTTGAACTTCATTGGAATGGCAATGTCTAGCATATCGCTGTGAAAATTCGTGAGTTTTATATATTCCGTGAAAGATTGTCAAAGAGAGCTGCACTCTGCTAACCTCTTCAATCGCTAGTAATTATTCATTTTAATTAGATTAATTAAACGTGTTTTAAAAATATTGTTAATCAAAACCAAACTATGTTGTTTACTGAAGTAAAGGTACTAAGTCTACTAAGTCCTAATGATTCATAATTCAGTAAAAACCACATTTGTATCAAGTTAGCATTAATTGCAAAATTTACTTCATGGCCTTCTGTTTGCAGAGCTTGGAATATACAATGCCCTTCAATTAAATTTGCGTGTATATATGCACGTACACATTTCTCAAATTCATTGTGCATTAGATATATTTTTGAATTCATTATTCAATTACTAAAATGAATATGATCGATTGACTGGCTGAATGTATTTGTAGAGCCACATTTATAAGAACTTTTTTCATAAAACGAACTGAGTAATCACTCTCTTAAATGTAGAAGCGTCTTTTTCAAACACCTTGTATAATTAAAATCGATCTGATTAATCACTCCCTTAAATATTGCCGCGTTTTTTCAAACAGTATAATTAAAATTGTTTAAAGTGTGCATTTGATATATTTTTGAATGTATAATCTAATTGCTAAAATAAACTCCAATCAATCGGCTGGTTGAATGCATTTGCAGAGCCACATTTTTAGGAACGTTTTTTATAAAACGATCTGAGTATCACTCCTTTGTTACACCTTGTATAATTAAAATTGTTTGATATCTTTTTGAATGTATTATCCCATTGCTGAAATAAAAGGGATTCATTGAACGCATCGAACTTTTTTCATAAAACAATCTGAGTAATTACTCCTTTAAACATCTCCCTGTTTTGTATAATGAAAATTGTTTAAAGTGTGCATTTGATATATTTTTGAATGTATTATTCCACTGCTGAAATAAAAGGGATTGATGGAATGCATCCAAGTTTTTTCATAAAACGTTCTGCGTAATCACTACCTTAAATATTGCCGCGTTTTGTATAATTCAAATTGTTTAAAGTGTGCATTTGATATCTTTTTGAATGTATTAGTATTATCTAACAGTTGAAACAAAGGGGATAGAGTGAATGCATTGAATTTTTTTCATAAAACGATCTGAGTAATTACTCCCTTAAATATTTCCAGGTTTTGTATTATTAAAATTGTTTAACGTGTGTATTTCATATCTTTTTGAATGTATTATCCCACTGCAGAAAAAAAAGGGATTGATTGAATGCATCCAAATTTTTTCATGAAACGATCTGAGTAATCACTCCCTTAAATATAGCCCCGTCTTTTTCAAACACCTGGTATAATTCAAAATTATTTGCAGTGTGCATTTGATATCTTTTTGAATGTATTATCCCACTGCTGAAATAAATGGGATTGATTGAACGCATCGAACTTTTTTCATAAAACGATCTGAGTAATTACTCCTTTAAATATTGTCGCGTCTTAACAATTTTCCTCCTTCGATTGCCAAATCATCTCATCTTCAATGCAGCCGCGTTGCATAACCTTGAAACCGTATTTATTGTTAAAGTTAGAACCACCTGGAGTCGCCATATGTTTGCCCGAAGCTTATTCTAACAATACGGAAAAAAGTTTACCTGGCGTTTAGCCATTCAATTCGAAGGTAGGCCCGTACAAAAGCGCCGAATTATACGCGAACGAATGAAACGAAATCGTAGAACAAAAGGTTTATTAAGTAACTTTTAAATAACATTATTCACATGAGGAACAAATACAGCCGCTTCTCTAGAGAAGTATTTATTAAGAAACATGAACGATTTTCATAGTTACATTTAGTTTACATGCTATAAATATACACGACAATATATTACAAAACGTCTTTATCGTTAAGTCTTTAAACTTGCCAAGTGTTAAGTAATATAACAGGTGTAAATCGATGAGGCGGAAAACGGGGGGGCCGCCCCCCGTTTTCCACCCGCGTCGAGTACAAAAATGACTTAGTTTACAGTACAGGAACATCGGTTCTTTGTTCAAAATTAAATACAAAATTCTACCAAAAAAAAAAATTAAATCATAAACGCAAGATCACGATTCAGTGATGTAAATAAACAGCGGCACTCATCACGTGGGCCCGCGCTTCTTCGAAGCGTCCACTGGCCTCGGTAAAGGGGAAAATAAAAAATAAGGGGGGGAAAAATAAATAAATACGCGCAAGGAAGAACGAGTCCACTCGAGGCGTGCCGGCCTTAAACCTAGGACAGTCCATGTTAAGTACAAGGTGACTTAGCTCACTTAGATGCATCACAACGTTACATATTAAATTAACTACTGACGAGACCGGGGGGAGGGGGGGATGTCGCGCTTAAGTGCAAAAGCTGGCTCTCAAAGCGCGTCGCCAGTCAAATCTTTGGTTTCCGGTCAGCTTCGAGCGCAACAAAAAAAAATAAACTACTTACACGGGTTATAAACTACTAGTATGTACACTATGGACAGGCGTTCGGAATCTGACCGCGGCGGCGACGGCGACGGCGACGGCCGAGCGGCGTCGCCACTTGAGCGCGACTCTCTGGGGCTTTGCGTTTTTTAATAAATAAACTATACAAGTCGGAGCTGGAGCGCTCTATCACACCTCGGTGGCGAAAAGTCCGGCCGCTAGCGCGTCCGGCACGTGGTAATGCTCTTCGATCACAAATACGGGGCCATCTTTGGGCGGCGGAGCGTCGCTCAGCGGCGAGCAGGCCGCGGACGTCGCCGACATCACAGACAGACGCTTGACGGGTTCGTAATCAGGCTCGTGCAGCTTCGCGGCCAACAAGGCGGATGCGCGCGCAGCCGCCGCCGCCACCGGCTCGGTATTCAATTGTTTTTGCGAACGGGTCCGCTGCAAACCGTACACGGGCCTGCCGTCGATTATTTGGTGCTTCGGAAACGGATCGCATTCGTTGGAATTGGCGACCGACTCCTCCATCGCGTTATTGGTGCATTTGCCCCAAGAGTTTTTGATCATTCTAGCGTCGGCCGCCATGGCGGCGCCCCGTTTCGCGAAACTACTGTTCGCCGTGTTCTGCTCGTTCTGCAGTCGGGCTTCTTCGTCCGCTCGCGCTTTCTCGCGCTTCCTGCGCTGTTTTAGGCACACGATGGCGCCGACGGCGACCAAAACCAAGAGCGGCACGAACGTCGAGATCGTAGCGATGACGACGACGTGCTCGGTGGTGAGGGCGGAGTCGGAGGAGACGCGCGCGCTCGGCGCGGCGCTGGCGGCTACGCCCGCGCAGTCGCGGCCTAAGAAACCCGCCGCGCAGACGCATTCGAAGCCGTGCACGCGGTTCACGCAGGTGCCGCCGTTGAGACACGGCGCGGAACGGCATACGTCCACTTCTTCGCTACAATCTTTACCGGCGAAACCGTCCCGGCATCTGCATTCGTAATCGTTCAGCAATTGAAGGCAAGTGCCTCCGTTGGCGCACGGTTTCGTCACGCAATAGTCCACCCGTTTTTGACACAAACGGCCCACGAATCCGGGCACGCATTGACAACGGAACTCGTTCACTTTGTCCAAGCAAGTGCCGCCGTTTAGACACGGGTTACCCGCGCAATCGTCCACGTCCACTTGGCAACGTTCGCCGGTGAATCCTACGGGACACGAGCACCGATAGCCTTCGGGAGCGGTCGAGGATTCGGTGCAAGTGGCGCCGTTACGGCACGGATTCGGTTCGCATAAGCTGACGCGTTTTTTGCAGTCTACGCCGCCGAAGTCGGGACGACAGGAACACGCGAATCCTCCGTTGCGGGAATCTTGACACGTGCCGCCGTTGGAGCAGGGTTTGTCCGCGCAGGTGCGCGTGTGTGTTCGCGATTGGCAATGGGAACCGTGGTATCCCGTAGGACAGACGCATACATCGTAGGATCCGTTGCGGGCGCAACTGCCGCCGTTGAGGCAAGGCGTTCGTGTGCAATCGTCAGCGGGTATTTCGCAATCGGTACCGTTGAAGCCCGGAGGGCAACTGCACGTGTAGCTACCCTGGCCGGTGTTGAAGCACGTGCCACCGTTGCGGCAAGGTTTGTGATTGGTGCAGAAGTTTAGGTCCTGGTTGCAGAAAAGGCCGCCCCATCCTTCGTCGCATAGGCAGTTCCAGGGTTTGATGCAAGAGCCGTGCATGCAACCCGGGTAGCGTTGGCATTGGTCGCATAGAGGGCCCTCCCAGCCGGACTGGCATCTGGAAAGAAAGATAGCAACGTTAGTGGACGTTAACAGTCAATCGGAAAAATACGGTGTACTCTTAATGAAGACAATTGAAAACGAAGGGAAGAAAATTAGGCAATATTAACAATTACTAGATTATTTCCTAAGTAGAGACACGAAATATAACAAGATGAAATGAATGGTAGTTCATCCATCAAAGATAAGCGCAAAATCAATTTGGATTGGCATTTCGAAACAAAAAGAAGAAAATTAGAAAGCATCAACCAACACTAGCTTACTTGTTAACAACGAGAGAAAGAAAATGTAACATAAGATGTAGTGCAGAATCAATTTGGATGTACATTCCGGAAGAAAGAGAGCAAAATTAGAAAACATTAGATTAGTTGTTAAGAACAAAAGAAAGAAAATGTCCCATGACATTAAATAAAAGGTCTAGTTATGCCTCATCTATCAAAGACAAGTGCAAAATCAATTTTTATTGACATTTCGGAACAAAGAGAGCAAAATTAGCAAAAATTAGAAAACAGATTATTTGGTGACAACGAAAGAAAGGAAATTAAATAAAAACTAGAACAATAGTTGTTCACCCATCAAAGACAAGTGCAAAATCAATCTGGATTGGGATTCGGGAACAAAGCCAGCAAAATTAGCAAATATTAGAAAACATTAGAGCATTTGCTAACAACTAGAGAAAGAAGATGTTTCATAAAATGAAATGCAAACTCGAATGATAGTTTTTCTATCAGAAATAAATGCAAGATCAATTTTTATTAACGTTTGAAAACAGTGGATGCAAAATTAGGCATTTTAGAAAACATTAGATAATTCGAAAACAAAAGGGGCAAAATTAGTTTACTTTGCTAGCTTCTAGAAATGGAAGAACAAGCTCAAAGTATTTTCTAATACTACATTGCAAAAGAACAAAGATAAAAAGACCTAATAAACACTTGTTAATATTTTATTTAATTACCATTTTGAAGATTTAGCTTAAAATATTTAAATAATTTCATAGAGTAACAACATTTGTGTCTATTACTTATCCAAAACAGAAATTTTTGATATGTTCGTACAAAAATGTAATTACTAGGTAATACCAATCATAATTATTACGATAGTAAATTTTTTTTCTCTAATTTTTAATGTTCTTTCCTTTCAAGAATCAACAATTTAGTGCTAGTCTCATTTTTTGCGATTGTCATTCTCAAATTACAAAAGTTTTAAGTAAAAACAATATTGTTCGACAACAATCAACAAAAAATACTACTAAATTTTAATCCTCTGAACAATATTTTATATATTTGAAATTTAACAAGACTGCATCTATACTGCCCAGTGTAGTGACACACTCCACAAAGTTTCGAGTACTTGCTTCAAATGAAACTTAAATGTTTATTTTTGATGACGAGAATGATTTTTTACTGCAATTTGATTTCCATGTGTGTTTTTCGCTTCCAGTGATTAAAAAAGGTTAAGTGCAAATTGTGATTAAATGATTAAATTGTGCTTTGTGGATAATAAAGACAATAAGAGTTAAATAGAAACTAAATTACTTTTTCTTTTTCAACAAGGACAATGTTCAGTAGCTTGACACTTGTAGTAGTTAAGCAGTTGCTATATATTTTCCTTCAGTTGTAGATTATGTTTCATTTCTCATAAAAAAAAGGGTCGAAACATCGGCATAGAAACTGAAAACGTAAGTTTTTTTAGGCACTATTAATAATCGGCGTTAATTTAGTCAGTGGCGGAGCATGGAAGTCGCGAACGAAAGGCTCGACGATCGGGGTCCGTATTAGCTATTCTAATCGTGCGCTGGGAAGCGAGTTTATTCGGATCGTATCGAGGAGCTCATTGAGTTGCAGCTTGGATCGCGGCTCGCGCGCTCGAAGAGATGCAACACGCCCACAGAGTCTTTTCCCACGCTGCCCGTTGGCAAGTATGCGGGTCAAGGAAAGGTTACCTGTGGGTCGGCGGCCCAATCTGCAACGCCGCTGTCCGGGCCCAGTATTCATCGGCTACCTAAATCCTACCGGACCACCGTCTCTGAAGAGCGCAATTTGTTCGAAACGTTTACGCGAATTTTGAGAGTAAATTAAATATTGCCTCGCGTTGGAAATTAAGAAAACAAAATAAATAAGTTTTACTACCCTCACGGTTACCTATTAATTATGTTTTATTACACTTTCAAATAACTCATTTAACACATCTTAAAAGTTACCATCTGCAGCACAGTTGCGGGGTTGAAAAAAACCTTTAAGTAACCTTTCGAATGACCTCTAATTAAATTTAAAATTTCGAGACATCAATTAATTGATTCCCGTTGAAAATAAAAAAAAAGAATAAATAAGTTTTTACTACCCTAAAAATCATAGTTACCTATTAATTATTTTTTATTACACTTTCAAATAACTCATTCAACACATCTTAAAAGTTACCATCTGCAGCGCAGTTGCGAGGTAGAACAAAATCTATACCTAACCTTGTCAATGACCTCTAATTCCATTTAAAATTTTGTGACGTGAAAATGTGTGGAAATAAAAAAAATGAAAATTTTTAGTATCCTTTTACGGTTACCTATGACTTATTTTTTATTGCACTGCCAAATAACTAATTTAATAAATCTTAAAAGTAACCATCTGCAGTACAGCTTGGGGGTTAAAAAAAAACTTTTATGTAACCTTTTAAAATTTTGAAACATCAATTATTTAATTAATTATTCCCGTTGAAATTAAACCCTGTTACGGGTTACCTATGAACTTTTTTTAATTGGCCCTTTAAATAAGTAATTTACTAAATCTTCAAAGTAACCTTCGAATGACCTCTAATTCCATTTAAAATTTTAGACCACATCAATTGCATGGAATACTGAAATTTTGTAATTAACCACTAATTTTTTGAATTATATGAACAAACTTACAAGTCTCTAAAAATTGAATTACAAAAAAATTCCAATTATTGGGTAACCCAAATCTTATCGGAGATTTACTGAGATGAGATTGAAATTTAAAAATTTATCATTTATTGAGTTACAAACAAAATTCTACTGGTTGAATTTTAGACACCCTCTGTATACGCGAATTTTGAGACATCAATTAATTATTAATTCCCGCACCGGAGTTGAGAAAAACCTTTCGCTAACGTTTCGAATGACCTTTAATTATTATTATTTTAATTAATATTCTCAAATCAAAAACTAAAATTTTGTAATTACACACTAATTCTTTTGAATTTTTCATATTTAAAAATAAAAGATTTACAAAAAAAATTCACTGTTTGAACCTTGATTTATGGGTTTGTTCGTAAGAATTAATCTCAAATAAATAAAATAGAAGATGTTCTTAATGTATTTTTTAATATATTAAAGTTTTTCAAAAATTTTTGGCCACTTTATCAATTTAAATTATTCCTGCAACTCCTCAAAAATATCATTAAAAATGATGGTTTCGTTTTCGACCCCCCTAATCCACTAAACTTAAACCAATAGCTGTTTAGAATATTTATAGATATTCAGGGTCACCACCAAGGTCCATTTAAGTAATGAATTAATTTTCTTTAATTGCATTTTTAAACTCTGAATTGTAATAAAATCATCTAAAAAAAACTAAAATAAGGCATTCAGTCTAGTCCATTTAATTAGTTTGATTCCCATTTCGATAAATTAGGGTGTAAAAAAATAAAGAAGTTTCAAGAAATCATTAACAAAATTGTTTTATGTTGCTACCGTATTATTTTTGAACATATCGAAAAATATTATTGAAAAAATTTGTTGTTTTTTCAATTTACAAAACAAAAACATTTATTTTTCTACCTTTTTTTAACCTAACTAGACTGAATAATTGTAGTTCAGTGTTTTTCTTTAAATGGAAATGGAAATGGAATAAACTAGACCTTATTTTAGTGTTTAAAAAAAAAACACTGAAGCAATAAAAATCTTCAAATGTACCGATAGATATAAATGCTAGCAATAAAAGATTAATTAATTAAATGGATTTTAGTGATCGTACTGTATATCTGTATTCTCAATTGAGTTGAAGGAATTTGCAGGGTATAAAATGAAGGAAACACTTTTCCACTTAGCAAGAACTTTCGAAGACACGCTGTAGAAGTTTTTCAACCATTTTTTTCGTCTATTTTCCAAAAATCCGAGTCATAAACCACAAAAACAACGGCCAACCGCCGGGCTGGTCGTTATCTAGACGTTCGAACGCGCGGATTAATAAAAATTACGCTGACATACTTACTTGCATTCGTTGGGACTCGTGCAGTGACCATGTTGTTCGTCGCAGCCGGGCAGACATTGCGCTGAAACAAAACAAAATTATCAGTTGGATTCTTCGCGCACCCTGTACACAGACAGGTATGCCGCGATCGTGGGAACATTGCCGGCTGAATACTCAACAGCAGCTGAGCTCACGTCTTAGGTCTTGCGGTCACCGTTTTTTTTTTACGATACGAAATTCGTAATTTTTTTTCCCGTCAATGGAGTTACGTCGTCCCATCGTTTTATTTTTTATTTTTTCGACCGGTACTTACGTTTGGTGCAGTAGTCTCCTGTCCATCCGGCAAGGCAAACGCGTTCACCCGTCGGGGAGCAACTGTAATGTCCGAAACTATCGTCTCTTGGTCGGCATAAATTTTCGCAACCCTTGCCGTAATAATGGGGCTCGCACGTCACGCGATATTCGAATCGCAAAGTAGAATATTTACTACTGTGCGCATCTTCGGTCCATTTGTCGCTCACGTCCAACCATCTTTGTCGCATCAGTCGACTGACGAGAACTGAAAACGAAAAACGCCCCCCGTATGTTTAATATTTGTCGAAGAAAACACGAAAATCAATTTCTAAAAACAACACTCCCGTGAGATCGTCGAGATAAGGTTGTTTTTATTTCCCATGTTCCGAACCTTCCGTATCTTTTAAGTAGTTTTAAACTTGTTGCAAGACGGACCGCACTAGCAGGTAGGTATACAGGATTGTTCGCGCTACAGTACCAACTGTCTGTGCCTTTTAATTTCAATAAATCGTTAAAATGTTAACTGGAACAACCTATGTCTAAACTAGCTATAGCAAAATCGACTCAAATATGGTACACTTTTTTTGAGTCAACTCATGGCCAATTTAATGCGTTGTTTATAAGTATTCTCATTTATAACAAGCATCTCTATAGCGTGATATACGGTGATTCTCATTTGGATTTTTTCAAATATTTCGAACGACAACCAAAAACCATTGTTTAAACCACTCGTCCATATTTTTCATGAATTTTGATTTACGGTTAATAATTTTCGATTTTTCTTCACAATTGACAAACCTTGTACATAATCGGAAAATTACCTGAAATAAAAGTTAAAGTCGTCGATCTTCCGCATTTTACGGTTCAAGAATTTTGCCGATCGGTTTAATAGTTTTCGAGATATGAATTTTTTTATAGAGCCCAAAATGACAACAAAAAAATTTTCGAAAATTTTTAAAAAATATTTGCCGATGCCCGATTGCACCTAGCTTTTACAATTTGCATCCGGGGGTGTACTTCTACCAACGTGCCCAATTTGAAGTTAATAGCTGCAAATTCAGTAACAGTGTTTAACTTATAGTCAATTTTCCTTTGAAAGGTAACTCAATTTTCAGATTTCTGGTAATACCGGCACATCCTGTATATTTTCAGAAAATTTTCAAGAATAAAAGTTTATGGGCGTCAATATTCCGTGTCTTTTCGTTCAAATTTTTTTTCGATCCGATGAACGATTTTCAAGAAATAGTCACTTTTTGGTTTAAAAAAAAAATGGTTTTGGAATTTTAAAAAATACTTCTCATTAACTGATCAATTTCAATAGGTTCCGTCACGGGCCAAAGCCCTATACTTTTGCAAAATTTCAAGTCGATATATTCAAATTTCTTACACTTATTGTGTTTCATAGCAAATTTCAAAAAAACAGTCGAAATCGAAAAAAAAAGGTCCGATCGCGGTCATTTTTACATATATTGTGCGGATTGTGGATGGTAAAAAAGGAGCCAAATTTCAACCCCCTACCTTAATCCGTTCGAAATTTATGGCCATAAATGGATTTAGTCTACAGAGAACGGAGAACGGACAGACAAAAAAAATATATTTTTCGACGCTCATCATTTCTGTACCACTGGTGGTCCTTTAGGACCTACCGTTACCGATATCTCGAGTGTAGTGAGGAGCGCGTATACTTTCCAAAAGAATCGATTTCATCGATTTTTCGAAAGTAACAATATGTTAATAATAATAATATTAAACCGTTAAGAGGCAAAAAAATCTTATTACTGAATAATAAGAAACGACCCAAGCCTTAGAACACGCTAAAAAACGCCAACGATTTAATAAAAATTATATGTGATTTTGCTTCAACCGTGCTTTTTAATAAATCAATATGATTTTATTATAATGTCTTCTTGAAACTAACATGTGCCTGATAATTTTGATTACTTATTCTTATTGCATTTGAACTGAAAAGAAATGCATTAAAATTATAATGGCTAACACAAAATATATTTTAAATATTTAATATACCAATTTGAACATGTTATACATTTAAAACGAAGAGATTATTGTTATAAATGTTAAGAAAAAACCTTTTTTTTCTGTTCCTTAGGGTAGAAAGTCGTCGTTCTTTAATTTCAGGCACATGCAATGTTAATGTAACAGATTTTCTTGTAAAATATGTTTTCATTATAATTAAATTTGCCCCTATTTTAAATTAATACTATATGTACTATTTAGCGAAAAAAATTAAAAAACACTTTAAATATTGAATAATATTTAATCGTCTTTACTTAGAAATTGAACTGAGGTGGCTTTTACTTGATGGAAATCCATATATCAAAATAAATAAGAACTAAAAATTCAGATTTTCACGGAATTATATATTTTTACACGACAATTGACATTTGATAAAGACACGGTGTTGTCGAAACAATTGTCATGTGAAAATCTGAACTTTTAGTTCTTATTTATTTTGTCTTTACTTAGGTTTTGGTAATAAAAACGCTAATGGTGTGTGCGTTCTATTGGCTGCTAAAAGTCACACGACAGAAAACCATCTTTTCTTTTTAATACATAACAACCTTAAAAAAATAAATGTTACTAGCAATGTCACTATTAAAAACTCGTATTACCACTGTTAGGTCATAGTTACAGCAGAAGATTATTCCATTTCCTTAAAAAACTACTCCGTTTTTCCATAAATGAAAGGAACTTTCTTATTTTATAAGGCAATCAAAGTTGGACACAGTCTTAAAAAATCCACCTGCGAAATAATGGCGGAGATATAAGGATATTGATGTCAATTATTTATTCTTTATTGGGTTTTGTGTTCTGCCCCACATAGTTGGTCAAATTTAAAGTGTAAATGTATTTATCAATTAAAAATTTAGTATATGAGTAGTATAGGATGTAGTAATAGTACGTAGTAGTAGTAATAATTGTCGTTTTATTTATTCCATTAAATAGTTAATTTTTCGTTTTCATTTTAAGTTTAACATTATTTTAAAGTGGCCAATTTTAAAAATGCAATGAAATTTATATTTATTCATTTATATTATGTAATTTATTTTAATACATGTTATTATTAAACGATACATAACACTCTACAATTGTTATTTAAAACATTTTGATGGAATGTTAATTATTCTGAAAACTCAACGTCAGAAGCCTAAGTAAAATTGTGACAACCTAACAGCACGCACAGGTTCACTAAAAACAATAAATAAAAATGGCCATTAACAAACCGCGCTTTTTCGAAAGCTAAGAGTTTCTTATAGCGCGAATGACCCTGTATAAGGCTGCGAGATGGTCGAAATTTAAAAGTAAATTTGAACTGGTCGGGAAGATTGGTCGCTTAGCCAGGCGTTTTCAGTAACAGAACACAGCATACACCTGCGTATAGTAAAGCATCCTGTCATCCGCCACAGCTGTATCCGGTGCAAAAGTTAAGAACACCTTTATTTATTTCAAAGATTTTTTACTGTTTCTCGTCAGATTCGTTGGATCGATTAAAATAATATTAATAATTTTTTCGATCAAACAGCGCCATATCACGCGGGCTTGTCTAGTTTATATATGATCGGAAAGTTCAGGTGGTTCACTTGGCGTATTACGTATCATAAGGGTTAGTCGGAGGAAGCAAACACATCCGGTTTAAAACGGGCTTTCAAGAAACCAATGCCTCGCCACTTGAGAACCCATTTTTAACCCATATAACCGTTCGGTTTGAGGTAGAAGATTATGGAAAGAATCGACGTTAAAACGAGAGAAAAATGCGTATAATATGCATATTATTTCTGTGTAAAGCTTACGATTACCGGGTACTGTAAATAAAAAGTCAAAGAGTTTAATTAGGTTGGTTCACACGTCACGCCCGGAACAATAATATAAATTACACCGGCAAGTTTTTTAATAAACATTTCACCATTTATGAGAAAATTTCACAGCAAAATAATATTCACGTAGGTATTTTGATACGAGAAAAATTGAATTAAACATAAAAGGTTCGTTCTCACACCCAATCACGAACAAGTTTACGGCTGTTTTTTGATTTTAATTGAGAAAAAATCCGGTAACTCAGTTTGAAACCAATCAGAAACTGTTTTCTTATAGATGGGAGAACAAACTTAAAGTAAACTTTTAACTTTCAAAATTCAGTTAACGATTTGTTTTATTGAAAACTAGTTAAAAATATGCAATATGCAATGTTAACTGACGCTCTATATATATTATCATAATTTACAAAAAAATTTAACCCTTTGCTTTCAAGTTGCAAGATATTTGTGCGCGATTCGGGAAAAAATGAAAAAAAGATTCGTTCTCACCGCCAATCTCTAGGGGACGAGTGTAAAAATATCAAATTTCCGATTTTAATTGAGAAAAAGAGAAAGTTTTATATAATTCATAAAACGGGTTAACAACAACAAACTTAGTATAAACTATTCCAAAACTGATTTTATGCCTTTTAGTTGCTATAGCACTTAATTTTCGAGAAGTTTTGATATCCAATATTGTAATAGATTCAAGGATATTGGAGTAATTGTTGATAGTTAAGTCACCAATTTTCACAAAAATTTTAGAGTTAGACCAACTTAAACAACTTAAACAGTCTCATTTAAATTAATATTAACATTTATTAATTATTATTAATTAAACAGATAGGTGTTATCCAACAATACAAATTTTTAATGAAAATTTTCAAAAAATTAGTAGTCTTTTTAAACAAGATTCCTATTAGAAGTTGTGGACGTCTTTATTCAACCAGAAACATCCCCCCACCACGCAAGTTGTTTCCTTCATCTCTCTGCCACAGTTTAACAAAAAATAATAGTAGAACACTTTCATTATTTAAAATCAGAACTGAACATAATAGATCTGAAGAACAACTAACCATTTCAACATTTTTGGCTCGTATCAAGCCATTTTTCCGTTATTTTTTTATCTAAGAGTTATAACTTATTAATTCGGGACAAAATTCGTAACTATCACCTTCCACAATGCTGGTCTTGTTATTTTGGCAATATTTACGGCCGAATTGGTATTTCGTCCGAATGATTGTACACTGTTTTGGAACATATAACATTTATTAATTTTATTTTCGCGAATTTTTTATTTTTGGAAAACTTGGCTAGAATTTGGTATAGTTTTAAGTTATACTGTAGCTAATAGTATTCTGGGTAAGTGTTCTGTATGTATGGTCTTTCTTGTATTATAACATTGTATTTGTTTTTTTTCTTCTTTTATGGCAGTGGATGCCATAATTTGCTA